CAAAATCCGAGTAAATTCTTGCCAAGAAGGTAAATTCCCTATCCCCACCAATTTAACATATGCAGGATACCATTGTAATGTCTTCCCCTCAAAATGTATAACCGCCACTTTTACCTTATAATTCTCAGGTGTATTATCAATAAAAAAGAACGCTTCATATTGAATTAATCACTGTTTTATTCCCTCACCACTCAATATTAAAAAATCTAAACGAGTTAAACGAGTAATACACCTCGAAGTATTTGAGAATCTTGAAGAGAGTTGTTGAGACCCGCCGCTAACTCCACGAACCTCTCATCCAGCTACTAAAATCGCACCTCCATTTTTGCAGTGAGATGATCTTCAACCTCATGATTCTGGTGTCTGGTATTTTTCGCCATAAATTCTTGAAGGAAGGTCCGGCTCTAAGATACCACTTGATAAGGATGAACTAGAAAAGACAAACAATCAAAGAACATCAACGAAGAAGAAGAGAATTCACAAGAAAAGAAGGAATTATGATCCAATTTTATTATTCTCGAGAAAATAATGAGTTACAGAAAATTAATTTGTTTTATCTTAATCATCACCCCAATAGCTATTTACAATCTCTAACTAACTAATTAATCCTTCCTCCAAAACAGAAATGTAACGCTAGTACTGTCACGTGTCCAACTCCTATCTCTTTTCTTCCCATGATTGGAATACAAACAGATTGAAAGATTGACCACTTGACATGAATTACTTGTTTTGATTTGAATACAAGATTAGTTAATTGGACACAACACCACCACCTTTGTGTTGTGCACTTTGATATTGGGACAACCATTGATTTGTTTTCTCAGGGGAGATTGGCTTTGTGGTTGAGCTAGCAAAGATTCTAGTGTTTTCTTTTCTTTGATGGGTGTTTCGATTGTTTCACAATCTCAAAAAACTTCATGGGGTGCCTTTAAGTTTTTAACTAGGCGGAAGCAGGTTGATTGTCGACGTAGGAATCACTCTCAGCCTCTTCTTGCCAAGGAGTTAACTGTTCCTCATCTCATTGCAGTTGGTCATTAATTCAACTTTTCTTTCTTTTTTAATTTTTTCTTGAAAATTTTTCATTTTTAATCATGTTTTCATCTGGGTTGCGTTCCTGGAATTGTTACAATTTTCCTTGGAATTCGGTGTTGTGATGTGGGAAATGTTTGGTTTGTGTTCATGTTTGACCACTTGATTGGTCCATATTATCAGATTTGGAACCTTTCCCGCCTTTTTCCCATTCACTGACAACATTTTCCTTCCCTTTTTTCTTATTCTATATGTATCACAGATTAATCAAGCTTTAATAACGTGATTACCGGTAGCTGAATGAGTTTTTCAAACAGTGGAGATAGAAAACGGGTTCCCCATTACATAGATGATCTCACTAAAAGTGCATATATCTAACCATTATAGTTTGTGATTAAGTGAGCATGCAGACAGTGAACACACCCTATTAGTTTTGCAAATTGAGTTTGATACTGCTATATGATGATGATCAGGTGTTGGTTCAACAATTTGTGGTGGGGTGTATGTTCTAGTGGATTAGCCGCTGGTCTTTCTGCCTTTTGCTATGCAGAGTTGGCTAGTCGATGCCCTTCTGCAGGGAGTGCATATCACTATTCATACATATGTCTTGGAGAAGGGTACTCTATTTTCCTTATGTTTTAACACTGTACAACAATTTATATAACATTTATGTCTTTTTAGTGATCTTGTTCTCTTTGCCATTGCCTAATTGCATCTTCTCATATTCATAATATCTCATTTTTTTAATTGGGGGATTAGTATTTCTATATATATATAGCAGCTTGAGGTCTATGTAGAAATAATATCTGATTGGGAATTGATCAATTAATTGATTTAAATATGTACAAACACATTATATGATAATAACATTTATTAGTTTTAAATAAATTGTCCTTAGTGATTCAAGGTCTAGGGTATACCACTGGTTAATCCTAACACAGTTATATCAATACTTAAAATCGGTGAGTATACTGCGTTCTGCGTTCATTGATGAGTATAGCTATTTCTGATCGAACCAATATATTTGAATCAGTTTTCGAAACACTCAACCTGGCTACGTATTCATATTTGTCACACTTGCATTAGATAGATTGATGAGGTGAATGGTGATTTTAATTTGGAAATAACAGGAAACATCCAAAGAATTATATCTTCATGATTTTTACTAAAATTGTTACATCAATTTATATTGTGGCACGACCTCCAAAGTCTCTTGTTTCTTAAGGGTTTTGTTTATAAGTCGAGATATTTTTGTTAATAACATTCATATTAATCATTGAACAAAAATTGCTTATCATAGTCCATAATCAACAAATTCTAGATTACGACGTTCTTGCTAGTTAAAACAAAAGCAAATGATTTGTTTACCATATTTATATTTATGTAGATATTATCCATCTCATCATCATAACCAAAACATTTAAATTGGTACCCGTAAGAATCGATCCGTACCTACGAGAATCGACTCATCCACAATCTGAGTTTAATGGGAATGAGTTTGGATTTTTCCAGCTTTAAAAAGTTGGAAATGATAATGATTAATATAATTTCGTTTTACGTCCCAACTTTATATTTAAATTTAAATTTTAAAATATTAATATTTTAAAAGTATTTTTTTTATATTATATATAAGATAATTTTTTATATTTCACTATTTTTATTTTTTTCTATCTATTTTTTAATTTTTTTTATCTTTTTTAATTTTTATATTAATTAATTTATTACATTATTCTTTTTTATCTTTTAGTTTTTTCACATTTCCTTAATTTCTCCAACTAATTTAATCAATTTTATTTTCAACATTTTCAACCAATTAAATGAACATAAATTAATTTTTTTTATCTTTTTCTAAATATTTTCCATAAATCTTAATTGTAATTAATACTATTTTATTTATAATTTATATTTATTAGGTTTTATTATATCATATTTTTTATCTTATTATTTTTATTTGTTATCTATCAAATGTTATCTTAATAAAATAATTATATTTTAAAAGATTAAAAAATGGATAATTTAAATTTTTATTTCTTCAAATTAATTAAAAAAATTTAATTTATTAAATATTTATTTATAAATTATATATTTTATATTTTTAAATAACAACTTAATGAATTAACTTATATATATATTTATAATTAAATGTTTAAATAAATAATAATAATAATAATAATAATAATATTGTAAATATTTAAATATAATATTATAACAATAATAATATAAAAGTTTTATATATATATATATAAATGATTAAATATATATATATATATATATATATATATATATATTATATAAATATAATTAGGGATGACCATTAAACCCGTACACGTGGGGACCAGACCGTTCTCGCCCGAGTTTGACGGGAAAACTCGAGTTGGCCGGGGCGGGGCGGGTTTTCCCGCTTTAAAAAGTCGGAGGCGGGGATGGGTAATGCAATCCCCACCCCGACCCCGTTCCCACCCCGACTTTATATTTAAATTTAAAATATTAATACTTTAAATGTTTTTTTTTCTTTTTCTATTATATATAACGTTATTTTTTTAATATTTCACCAATTTTTATTTTTCTTCTAACCACTTTTAATTTTTTTTCTTTTTTAATCTTTTATATCAATTAATTTATTACATTATTCTCTCTTACCTTTTTGCTTTTTACATTTCTTAAATTTCTCCCATCAATTTATTTATTTTTTTAATCTTTTCAATTAATTTGATGAACACAAAGTAAATTTTTTTCTTTATCTTTTTCTAAATATTTTACATAAATCCTAGTAGTAACTAATATTATTTTATTTATAATTTATATTTATTAGGTTTTATTATGTCATATTTTTTTATCTTATTATTTTTATTTATCATATCTCAAATTTTATCTTAATAAAATAATTATATTTTAAAGGATTAAAAGAAATTGATAATTTAAACTTTTATTACTTGAACTAATTAAATAATAATTAACTTATTAAATATTTTCTTATAAACTATATATTTCATATTTTTAAATGACAACTTAAAAATGAATTAACTTATATATATAATTAAATGTTTAAATACAAGTATTATAATAATAATGTTATAAGTATTCAAATATTTGAATAGTATAATAATAATAATAATGTTATAAATATTCTATATATATATATATATATATATATATAAATAAAAAATAATTAAATATTTTTTTACATATATATTTTTAATATAAATATAATAAATTAAAATGTATATTTAATTAATAATAATTATAAATTATAAAATTATAAATATTTATTTATATATAAAAAAGACATAATAAAATTAATTTATTATAAATATAATTATATTTTTAAAAATAATATAGATCGAAGACATGATGAGAGACAGAGATGGGAACTTAATTTTTAAACCCGACGAAGATCGGGATGGTTATAAAAGTCAGGGACAAGAATCGAGAAGACAAAACCCATCCGACTCCATTGCCATGCCTAAATATAATAAATTAAAAAATATATTTAATTAATAATAATTATATATTATAAAATTATAAATATTTATTTTTATATAAAAAATATATAATAAAATTAATTTATTATAAATATAATTATCTTTTAAAAATAATATAAATTCGGAAAGGAAAATTCTACCCCCTCTTGCCTAACTATAATAAAACAAATTCAGACATTATAATTACCACATTTCATCCCCTCCAACAAAAATTTCATTCATACTTGAATCATCGCTCCTGAATTTTAAGATATATTATTGAGAATTCACGGATTCATGCCCAATAGCACCATGCCCGTTTCCCTTCTCCAAATACCTAAATTACATGCAGTAAATGAAGGCTGTAAAGAAAAATACACACTTAAACTCAACTAAACATGGACCTGTAAAACAACGTTTACTAATAAATTGGTTACTTAGTGAGATACTTGCACATAGGATCATCCGATGGACATAGTAAACATCAAAATTTTGAGACAACAAAGACCACTAATTCATTTTATCCATTAGTTCGTTGATGAGATCCTCACGGTTCCCTGTGTCTCCACCCTCCTTATATAGGGTTTTTGATCCTTTCAATCCTTCAGCTGGCTTGTTGAGCGCAAAGGGCCACATAAATCTGACAACTTCCTGAAAGTGGGGTCCAACATTATAAATCTGATGCACCATGTCCTCTATGCATACAATACCAAACTTTCCTAATTCCTGCATGGCAAAAACTGGAACAATCACAAATGCAGTTAAGGGGAAAGGATAAATGACAACCAGGAATGTAGGAACACCATATATTACCTGCTCAATAATGTTATTATCTGTCAAGGGAACTTTCCGCCCATCCATCCTTGCATGTCCTTTCTTGTAAATTAGTTCCTTTATGCTTTTAAGGTTTGGGTATCTTCAAAGGAAAAAAACATACAAAATAAAGAACAATCCTTAGCAAGTGATGAATGATCACTTTTTGTTTTGCAATGAACACTATATGCATGATTGCAAACATAAAAGAAATAAATAACAAAACAAAGTTTTGAATAGGGCAGTGCTGTTCATCCCAATGCCTTGAAAGCATTCTACTCTAGGTGAAATACACAAGTGTCATTCGCAAACAGACTTATTGGTTGTTACACATCAAACTACCAAATCCAAATGGAATAGACTAACAAACAATAAGAAACTTATCAATATGCTAATTATTTTCCTTCCCCAAGTAATAATAAGTGCAGGCATCAACTATAAGTTTCTTTAACTTCAAAAATCTGTTTAGATAAACAACTTATTAAAGGCTTTTTTGAATAAGATCTTTGCCAGAATATACTTCTCCACAAGTACTAATAAGAGAAGAATATAAGATAAATTGAATTAAGCTTCTTGCATAAACTAAAATTAACTTACGTACTTAACTTTCTTGAAAGTTAATTTCATTTAAATTCTAAAAACAAAGGTGCATAAGTTAATTTTACTTAATAGAGAAACACAATGCATTTTATCTTCTTTTTCTATTTTTCTATTAGCGTCTATGAAGTTTATCCAAATAGGGCCTCCGCTTATGTACAGGTATGTATGTACAAGTTTCTATAATTACAGTAAAAAAAGTATTAAATTGTTTTCAAATAAACTGTAATCTGTTTTCACATGTCATCCAGGAAAATTTAATGTAAAAGAGCTGAAAACAACTTATGGACATATCATAAGCTATTTTTCATAAGCACCCCATGGCTCAAGTATTTATACCACAAGATCAATGTAAATAAACCATAAATAACCCCCTTCCAAACGGACTCTAAAACTTATTTTGCCCATGAACATGCCCATTCCCTATCAATACAAGTAAACGTCAGACTCCCTCCCCCCACTTTCCTTTCAACTTTAGAAGTTCTAGAAAACCATCTAGTTCCTCACTAACCCCAAACACATAAAAGCACAAAATCATGAACATAAATTAATGTCATACCCATAGGTCACATATGGTTCCACCCTCTGCAGCTTGGCCATTATTCCTTCACTTGACTTCACAAAAACCGCACTGAAAATACTCCTCAAACCCAAGCTATACAACACCTTCCTTGTCTTCGGATGCATGTCCTTTTTCCTAAAACAACCGCAAGTAACAGACATGTCATCACTTATTCAATTCACAATTTCAAAAAATATCAAATAGCCAAGAAAAAAAAAAAGGTTTAAGTACCTATTCGATCCTTAAACCGTCATAATCATTATATTTTAGTCTCTACCATTAGAAACTTACTCATTTTAGTCCCTATATATACACTTTGCAATCCGCTTTAGTTTTAGTCCCTACACGTAAAATTTATAATCTTTACACCTTACACGTTAATTTATTATCAGTTTTAATCCCTCCAAATTTGGATGGCAGGGACTAAAACAGATTGAAGAACGTAAATAAAGGGACTGAAACGAGCAGTTACAGAGTGTATGGACTAAAAAAAAATGAAAATATAGGAGCCAAAAACTAATTAAGCTAAGATGAAAAACAAGGAACTGTACCTACCCCTGTATCCGAATGATTATCAATAAGTTGGATTTAGCTTGAGGAACTTTCCTCTTCACCCTCCGCTTCAATCTAATAAGGTCCACTTCCTATAAACACACGACAAGTATTAGGTTTTGCAAATTGTCGCAAACACTGTATCTGAATCATTCGCATTATGATTAGCGAGTCATCGAAAACGAGCGACAAGAAGTTAGTTAGTTACCTTGTTGCGATACTCGTGGATGAAATCCTCGGGCTTCTTGATGGATTGGAAATTCTTGTGCTGGAATTGTTCTTTCTTTCTCAATGCCCATGCTTCACTGCTTTTGCGCTTCTTGAGTATAACCTCGGGGATGTAGTTCAGAGGTTTCGGAACCTCTTCTGCCATCACTGCACATACACGGTTTATAGGGGTCAAACTTAGGGTTACGAAACCATAGAGAGACACGGGTTACGTTACGAAACCATGGAGAGAACCTGACGGTGAGACGGTGGCTTCTGACGGCGGAGAACGGCGGCAAGAAATCACGAACTTAAAACCCTAAATTATGTGGTAAATTTGGTTTCAATATTATATAGTGCTGAACTTTGTTTTTTTTTCTAATTTCACGGTTTTTGTTGGGCTCGATTTTGAGTTGGGCCTTATCATTCTCAAACATTTTTAAATTACAATATTTATAATAATTTATAATTTATAATATCTATAACAATATCTAATAAAATACTTCATTTGCTTATATTTAGTGTGTTGTTTTATTCTTTAAATAAATATTAATGTTATAAAGAATGATTACTTAATTACTTGAAGAAACAATCACATTCACGAATTATTATTTACTTAATTTTTATCTCATTTTATATAATATTTTATTTATCTTCAAATAATAAATTCTCTCCAAAATTAAACATACAACGTTAATAAATATTTTATTTCAATTCAAATATAAATCATCCATGTTTTTTAACAACAAGAATAATAGAAAAAGAAATAAGAATAGAGCAAAGTTTTTTGTTAAATTAGTAGAGACTATATTAGACAAATTTTAAATAATTAATTTGGTATTTAAAAAAACTGGCATATGCTCAATTCTAAAATGTTATACATTACACTTTCAATATTATGAGTTATTATTTTTAATTAAATTAATAAATTATGAATTAGTTTTATAATAAACAGTAAGATTTTTTTGCTTTTGAAAGTACCTGTGAGTTAGGATTCATTCCATTATTCCAACCAAATTAACACCTCTATATTCATTAATAATGTGTATATATCAAATATTTTTTAATATAATAAACTATTAAAAAATATTATATAAAGAGACTATATCAAACTATGATAAAAGATTAAATAAACTTATACTCTAGTAAATAATTTTTTCTTAGAAAATTGTGAGAAAACATCAAATAACACTTATGTGTAAAAGATAAATTTAGTAAAATAAATATAATAAAGAAATATTAATTATGTATTAAATAATCGTAACGGAAAAAGGAATTTTGTGTCTAATAATATAATAATGAAATCATATTCAATGATAAATTATATTATCTAATAAGTATTTATTTCCATTAATTTACCCTTTTTAAATTACCTTTCTATTACAAAAGAAAAAAAAATATATATATATATATATTAATTTTTTATTCTAAAATTATTAAAATACAGTAAATTAAGAAAAAATAAATTATAATATACTTTTAATATGTTAAATTACACATGAAATTAGATTATATATGTTGATGAGGCTACGTTCGAAATGAGAAATTACAAGGTCTTCATCTTTCTTAGCACACCATAGAATATGCAACTTGTTATAATTCTAAATGCTAAAACGTGGTGCCTGACAATTGCTACATCAGAACGTAGGTAGAGAGTTACATGAAATTTGATGGAGCCAAATTATCATCCTTCCTAACTTATTTTTTGCATCTTCCATACATTTGCTTGGAGTGCACGATCTGCAAATGTGAACTGTTTGTCATCAAATTGCTTTCAGATGGGCAACAGGTGCACTTGCCCACCAATTTTCTTCTGTGCGTCTGTAAATAAATTTTGCTCCTCATTTTGTTTCAGTATTCCTCTGTAAAATATATTAATTATATTTTTATCTTGTCTTTTAATTTATACTTATTGTAAAGAGAAGATAACACATTATTAGAAATGATTTTGGAAGAAAAAAAATTAAGATAATAAAGATATTAAGGAATTTTTAGGCTGTGTGTATTTTTTTATTTTATTCGCTTACTCGTATACTCTTTATATATAAAAATATAAAAAAATATCAAATATTAAAAATATCTTAATCATAATTATTTAAATTAAAATAATAATTTAATGTATATCTTTTTATGTTTTAAACTAATAGGTTTATTAAAAATAATAAAAATTAATTTTAATATATGTAACTCAATCTTAAAACACATATATTTTAAAATTGAAAAAATATAAATACTTTTTTTTGTCTTAGTATCTTGTGCTGCATATAACAAAAGTTTGTTTAGTGATAAGTATCTCAGTAATTAGAATATGATAATATAATGCATGATGTAATAGATAAATCAGATGCTGAAGAGGCTAAAATTCGTTCATAACATGTTATCTTTATGTGAATCAACTCGGGTGGGACTCCTACAGTTTCGTTAACATCTTGTGAGGGAGCATAATCTTCATATTTGATAACTTTTGTTTTTTCTATCATTTATACGTATGCTAGAAATGACTTTACAGTAGTGATTGTACAATAATTTTTTATTTCATTATATTGCATTCTTATTTTTATATTTTCAATACTTATTTATCTTAATTTATTGACTTATTGTAATGCTTGATATTTGATAAAAGAGTCTTTCTTTATATATATTTAATCAGCTAGTATAAAAAAATAGAATTTTTAATTGATAAATTTTACTATTATACACACGTAATTTTGGGAATACCTAATATTTATTTTGCTGAACTACTTAATGATCATCATGTTTAATATTTTGACATCCACCAACATCCTCCAAATAACGTTATCTTAATTAATTTCCTTGTGATCTTTATTGATCCATTCGTGATTTTAACTTATTCTTATATGATGTTAATTGATTCGCTCATGATCTTAATTGATCCTTACTTGATCATACTTATGCTTAATTGATTTTAACTGATCCACTTATAATCTTAAATGATTCCTATACGGTGTCAACCTCTCATATTTCAAGTATCACCCAATATTTGTTAACTAGAGATTCGACAGTGGACCAATTACATGTAAGGCTTAACAACGGAATAACCTCTATTGTGCTTTTGTATAATAGACTTCTAAACACAAACTTGAACGCCAAAACATTGAGACCTGAATACACAAACCTTAACCTCCCATGGCACATGCCTATTAATTGTGAAAGGTAAGGGTCATGATTATCAATATCGTGGCACACATGAACCATTATGATCAAGAGAACATGAACATGCGGATTAATCAATAAGAATATAAATAGACCCCAAACCCCTAATTCAAAATCATCAAATACTTACTTTATGTTTGAAATTCTTATTCAAGGCCTTTTGCTAGAACATTTTTTATCCCCTTATATGTTGGCCTTCGTGTTATTACATTATCACGTGACCATTGTTCGATCCTGATCCTAATCCTCTTATATGTTGGTCTATGTTCTATTACATTACCACATGATCATTTTAATAAATTTATCATCTTCCCTATAATGTAATATTTAACTTAGTTCTCATGTCAACTAAGTAATATGTTTCCATCCATTAAGTCATACAATCACTTGTTCCCATACGAGAATTGTTCTCATAGATTAATTTTAAATTATAACTGACAAATATGATTAGCAAATTCAAGTTATATGACCATGCTAATTATATTTTACCTTAAGTCTCTTCGCCTTTTATGCTGAAGATTGTGGGGTTGTATATCATCAAGCCTTCTCATACATCAAATATAGGTCAATCTCTATAAGGATCAATATTTTAATCTAACTTATACCTCAGTCTATGTCTGATTAATACCTTGTGCATTATAAAAGTTATACCACGTATGATATTTATAAATATGAGAAAATAACTGATCTTACAACATGTTCAGACAAGTGGGACTTCCTTGAATTAGTCTTGGAAACCAAGTCTCACTAGCAAAGGTACACTGTTTTTTAGTCTATAAATGAACTTCAATACCCCGAGTTTACAGGTCATATGGAATGTTATTTGAGTCTAAGGCTTTTGACTAGAATAGTATTAATTTTGAACAAACCATGAAATCACCTGTTCATTCCATGTTTTATTCAAAGTTCTTCCCTTCTTTTCTCACGGTAAGAATAGTATTATCGAGTCTAATAACCACTAAACAATCTGGAGTATAGAAAATATCATAATTTTAATTGTTCAAGTAAAAGAAATACAATAAATACAATGCAATGTACAGATTCACTCCCCTCCCTTGTAATGCTGAACTAAGATTTACATCTGATACCTCCAAATAGGAGCTCACAACAGGGAGTCGTCATCACAGAAAATAATTGAAAAACAAAACCATCAAGTATATGGAGGTATCATCAAAATTGCCATGATGTACAGACCATACAGGGTACTACTCCTTTTCACCTTCCCAGCTTAAGCAAGAGTATCTGCCTTAGAAAGAAGCAACACATGAGTTCCTATATTCCAGTTTAGGCACCATCTTGTTCCGAAAAAGTCACTGCCAATAAGATCAGTAGCGGGCAAGTAAAATAACTCAGTAATAGACAGCATGCCGCCAAAACCTCAATCATGTTCAGTTCATAAAAAACATACTGTGGATAAGATACTTGCAAAAGCATATTATTTAGTGATTAGTTCTTGGTGAAAAAAAAGTTCAACTGCAATCCAGTATCAATCATCATTGTAAATAACCTCAGTTTTAAGAAAGAGCAACACAGTCCATGAGGCTCCTAGCTAGTGAGGAATGGAAAGGGTAGATGTAAGCAGTCTTATCCCCATAAGTGGAGACTGTTATTGTGATTTGAGCCTGAGACCTACCATTCACAAGGCAGCAACCAAGGCTTGCCGTCTAAATAACCTTTGTTATGTAGCTATCGAATTACTAGTCACATAACAGGGCTGAGCAGTTTGAGTATTGGCAATTTTCTCTTATTTATCATTTATAGTGTTACCAAAATAGTTCCTTTAGGCAAGCTTTGAGAGTTTCGGTATTTCTATATATAGGTATATCAATACAACAAATCTGCAGATAATTGATATAGGTTCACATACCATTCATCTGTTAGTTTGTAAGAGCTTGCAATCCCAGCCTTTTTGTGCATGAGACCAATTTTATTTTAGCAAGCATCACTTGTCTATGCTTTACTTGAAAATATTGGCTCAGTTTTACGCCTCTCCACTAACCAAGCTGCTTTCATCTTTGCCAGACACACTACCAACTGCTTTGTTGCTACTCTTCTTTGTTTTGTCTTTGTTAGTGAAGGGCTTATCCTGGGAAGAGCTGACCAATCTCTTGATAAACTTTTTAGATGGAAGTACAGAATCATCCTCTGAACTCCTTTTAGAAGAGGCTGTGATTTTGGGAGTGCTAGATTTATCTTTAGACTTTTCAGGTGATTTTGGTGAAGTTTCTGTGTCGTCAGCTAGTTCACCAGTAGGCTTAACATTTGAGTTGTCGGCATCTGTATCAGGAAGCAGTGCTCGGTAACTCAGGCGCAGCTGGCCCTTTTCATTTATCTGCAGTGCATGCTTAAAATTATAATACATAATACCTACCTCTCAAAATGGCAAAATCAAATCAAGAATCATATTCTTCAGATACTTGAAAATCAGGATGGAATTCTACGTTTAATATGTAGTAGTTTATAGGCAAGAAATCTCTAATTTAGGTGAAACAACATTCTATCTTTATTTTTAACAATATGTAATAAAACTTTACATAGTTCATAAAACAGGTCTGGAAGATTGACTTGACCAATTTCAGAAAATAGAAAAGTTCATATTGTAAAGAAGAACATTGAAAAAAAAAGAAGGAAATTCAATACTAAGAATGTTTCTCGTGTAATAGGTGACAAATAGATAATTCTACCGTAGTTAATCAGATTGTTAGAATCCATTACAACAGATCAACAACTCAGAATTGTCTGCTACAACAGACAAGCCAATAATGCTAGGTTATGATTATTAGACAAATGTATAAGTATCTGCATTCATTGATCAGAGTTTATTAACAGTAAAATGGATTACTGAAATCACTAAACACTGTCTGATTCTGAATATGCTTTCTTTCATTTTCTTACTCAAACTGAAAATGTCATCCACACTGTATCTATTACTCTATCAAGAACTATGTGGCTCAGCTTCACCCCCAGTTCAGAGAATGGAAAAGAAGATGTGTAAGATGTCTTTACGAATATGGAAAAAATACTCCACTCAGAAAATGCTATCCCTTTTGAGCTAGTTTCTTGGATGAATTAGGCTCAGTTCATTTCTAATGGGTAAGTTAAAAGCTAAATATGTATTGCATGATTCAAAGATAACAATGAGTAACATGACATACCTCTATAAGCTTTACATCAATGCGATCTCCCACTTTGAACACCTGGAGGAGTGCAAGTCAAATATTATCACCGCACTACTTGCTTAAGCTGTTAATTTTATTTTGAAAATTGAATCAAAAGAAAATGCTTACATCTTCTGCCTTAGGTAGCCATCCTGAACTCAGTTCACTGATATGACAAAGTCCCTAATTAAAATAAGAAGTGTTGGATATTGTTAGAAATATAAGAAATTTCTGATGATATTATAAGAGTACTTAAAGGATCTCTCAGGATTTAATTTTCTTTTACATTTTATGATTTGTTTGCATATTTAATTATTATCACTTTTTCATTGTATTCTAACCTCGTTTACCACTCTAATTCATAGTTGTTGTACACCACGGCCAACTTCTTTGTTGACACACCCTATGCCCTAAGACACCTTTCAAATTCACTGAACCTATCGATGTCCAAAATGCTTTGGCCCTTTCTACAAGCCAGATGTACTGGTTCTGTCTTTGTTTCGGATGTATTGGCTCATCTATGTCCCAGATGCACAAGCGTTTTCTTTGTTCCATATATACCAAACCCTGTCCCAAATGTATTGGCCCTATCTTTGTCTACAATGTATTAGCCCCAACTATGTCCTAGATGCACCCATCTATGTAATCTAGAACTGTCTTCACTCTATATGCAATGGCCTCATCTCTATCCCACAATTGTGATCAAACTTAGTTTCAAGGTTAAACGTTTAGGTCTGTAATAATATTTGTTTGAAGATTTCAGATGTGATTTTGAGAAGCACAAACATGTTTTTCTTGCCATGAAATTTCTCTCATGCTGATGGTCATTCTAGCTCTCTTGCTAACTTCTTCAACATCACTGAGTTGTGTTTCCAACTATTGTTTATGGTTAGTGGTGTCAATATGGATTGTAACCGGTGAGTCAACCAGGCTGACCATGGGTTCCAACTAGGTTGGGTTTGATTTTTTTCATTTCTACAGAAATGGGCTAAAAATAAACCCGACTCACTTAACCCACGGGTTAAACGGATTCAAGCTAGATTATGGTGGGTAGGCCTGCAACCACAATTTATTTTAAAATTTTAAATAACTAATAATTTAGTAACCCTATTTGGTGTTATCTTGTCTCTCCACCTCTACTCCATGTTGCCGCTACAAGCCAAATCCTCACTCAAGCTTGTTATCAATTGTCCGTTGCACCACTGCATTCGCCAGGCCGCTTGCCATTCGTCTGCCGTACCACAATGCCACCATGTTCATTGCATTTGTTGCACCACCTCACCATAGCATTTGCTACACTAGAACATTTGTCACGCTTCAATCGTGTCACAACAGTTGATGTACCATCGGGCCATAGCATTTGTTGTGCCACCACGCCACTGCGTTTTAATCCAACAATTCAATCGTGCTTATTTGAAAAAGAGGTTGAAGAACAAAAAAGTAAATATGGGTTAGTGAGTCAACCCACCAACCCATAGTGGGTTGAGCCAGGTTGTAAAACTTTTGGCTAGCTATAAAGTGAGACAGATTAAGCTCATTTATTTTCAGCTCAACTTGTGGTGAGTCAACTCGTGTAAGCCGGGTTGATTCACTGTGACACCCCTATTTATGGTGGAACTCAAGTTTTTTTTTTTTTATTATTATTATTATTTATTTGCAAGGAAGTAAATTATTTTCTTGTAACAAGCTAAAGCTTAGTAGTTTCAACTGGAGTTTGATGATATTATCTCAAAAAGTTTAGAGTACTTCAATGATCTATGAAGATTGATTTCTCTTTTATATTTTATGCTTTGTTTACTTATTTAATTAGGAACTTTATAATTATAGAGATTATTGGTCTATATGTTTTCAATGCAATACTTTGGTAGTTTAAAGATAATTGGATGACACCAAATTATAATTCTAGTTTGCCGATTCGTATTTGTAAAAGGAATGGTGCTTGAAGGTGAATAATTATAGGCCTATTTGATTTTAATTTAAATTAGAAAGTGGATATAAACCTCATCTCGTTTGAATAGATGGAGATAAAAATTTCGAGGACAAAATTTATTTAGTGGGGAAGAATTGTAACATCCTAATTTCGTAATTATTTATTTGCTTAATTTCCTACATATTTTTATATATTTTATTGTAATAAATATTATGTTTTTATGAGTGGAAAATTTTATATTGTAAAAAAAAAAAAGAAGGTTGGTGATGTATGAACCGTGGTCTTAATATATGAAGACATTTGGATTGATTTAATCACAAAATTGGTCAAAATTTTGACCAAAACTTGGAGAAGAAATTAAGTCGGTGAGTAAGCAAATAAATAGGATGAAATTGGACAAAATAAACCATATGAAAATAAGAGAGAAAGGAGGAGAGTAAGAAGATAGGAGAAAGAAAAGCTAGAAGATCTTGGAGAAATAAGGTATGGGTTAGATGTTTAATTTTATTCATATGTTTAAGATTAGAATGATTGATTTTGATGATTGCTTCTTGTTTGAAAAGCTTGAAATTTTGTTAGAATTCTTGGATTATGGATGAATTATATGGTAAAATTGTTGTTTTTGAATTAAATTGGACATGTTTCATGTTTAATTTGGATTTGGATTTGAAATTAGTTTGATTGTTTGATACTTGAAAATATGAAATCTGGATGTTGGACATGGTGAGGAGGATTACTGGAGACCAAGAATGAAGAAAGGGGCAAGATGAGAATTTTTTAAAAAGATCAAGGGTAAAGTAGTCATTTCACATCCTAGGGACATAAATGGAATTTTGAAAAAAATTAAGGGTATAATGGTAATTTAATAATGATTTTAGGACATGGAAGGAATAATAGAAAATGTTCAAGGGTAAAATAGTCATTTCACATCCTAGGGACATAAATGAAATTTTGAAAAAAGATTAAAAGTATAATGGTAATTTAATAATGATTTTGGGACATGGAAGGAATAATAGAAAATGTTCAAGGGTATAATTGGAATTTGAGAAATAAAGTAAAGGAATAATTGGAATTTTAGAAATGAAGTACAGGTATATTAGAAAAATAATTAAAATGAAGAATAGAATTAGAAATTTTAGAAAACAATCATATGGTTAATTCAAATTTAGAAATAAACTAATAGACATATTGGGAAACAAAAACCCTAAACCCTAAAGCTTCATTAAACTCTCAAAGGGAAAATCTCCATGGAGTATAGAGTCAAACGCATGATTTTAAGTTTTGCATTTTGAGTCACATGTGCATATCATAAACATATTGCATGATTAAATTATAGATTATTTATAAATTGTATGATATTCTCTATTATTGTATGATATTCTCTATTATAATTTCACGAATGATTTATTTATTTATTATGGATAAAATTAAATGTCTAACCCCATAAATATTTAAATCCCAGATGTTGGTGACGTGTGATGAAGGAATATATAATTCAAGAGATAGATGCCGGATGCAATAATCCAAAGTTTAGGTTGGGGATTGTATAATATATATGTATAACTTTATGACTTGTAATATTTTGAAAACTTTGTATTAGAACATGTAGTATGACTTTATGTAGAACTTCACTTAAAATTATCTATTACTTTGGTATATTTTCTCTTAGCCTTCGATGTTATTATAAATAAATTACTAACTAGGATAAAAAAAAATTAGGATTAATAAATGTAATCTAGAAGGGGGTTACATTAGTAGTATCAGAGCTCTGGTTATGCATCTTTAGGACTTGTGAGTGTAGGTTCATTAGGTTGAAGGTCATTTTAGTTCTTTGTTGAATTGTTTTAAATTGTTTGAGATTGAGTATGATTTGTCTGATTTTCGCATGATATTATATAATTAGAATATTTTAGAATAGATATTAATAAAAATTAAATATACTATAGGTCATTGCTGAGGAGGTTCTCAGCCGTGCCCTCACTTTACTGTCACAACAGGAAAGGCTTCTTCCTATGGCAGGCCCCAATGTATGAATTTTCCAACCCACACCTTACATGCTGACAATGTTATTCCTTTTCTTTGTAGAGGCACTAGGTCCAATTTGCAGCAGCTGGTCCAACTTTTTCAATCATATAAAGAGAATGATGGTCAAGATGTTAGTATTGCTGAATCCTAATTCTACACTATTGGGTGGAGCCTCAAGGAAGAAAGTTGTTGTGGATACCCTTGGCTTTGCTGAAGGTTCACTGCCTTTTACTTACCTTGGTGTTCCTATTTTCATTGGAAAGCATTCGAGATTGCATCTACAAGGTCTATAGACAAAAGCAAACGTAAATTAGCCTCTTGTAAAGGTTCTCTGCACTCTTATATGGGAAGGATCACACATTCTCCTCTGCTATAAACAGTATGCTTCTTCACAGTTCAAGAGTTTATTTTGTGGCCCAAGAATCTGACAAAGAGTACGGAGTCTTGGATTATAAATTTCATCTAGCTGGCAGTGTAATAATCATAAGTTGGTCACGGTTTCTTGGAAGACATCTTGTTTGCCCCTTAACAAAGGTGAATTAGGTCTTAAATCTTTGGCTAGATTATTGAAAGCAGAGTTAGTTGCAACTTCTGTTTGGCATGGCATTAAGCAGAATATCAATCTTGTCATTGACAATTCTACTTGGCAGACTGGTGATGGAAACAAGGTTAAATTTTGGCTGGATAAATGGTTATCTACTCAAATCGTTGACTAGCCTGTAGTCCATATATAGCTTTCAGTATCTCTTGCCATTATATTAGAAGCAAAGGTGGTCAATTTATTTTAATCATGAATCCATCTTGGATCATTCCTCCTGTTTTAGCTCTATCAACCATATCTGTCAGCTGCTATTACTGATATAACCCTCCCTAAATTTGAAGTTGAAGATAAACTGAGATGGAACAGTGTTGTTGATGGGGTTCTCACTCTTAAATCTGCATACCAATTTATTTACCTAGGCCTAATCTTCCTAATTGCTCAGCTTTGATGTAGAATCTATCATAATAAGTTGCCTACCGAAGATAACTTAATCATGCGAGGTATGATTATTATCTCTCATTATCATCTATGTGGATCTGCTGCTGAGACTGTCCAGCACTTACTCTTTGACTGCACTTTTGGGGCTGGCTTGGTAGCCTTTTCCACTGCCACATTACAGCAGGATCTATTTCTGCTATTTTAGAACTCCTAAGAAGGCCATGGAGGGCTCAGAGAACTGTAGTTCTGGAATCTTTATTTGGTATCTTGAAGGCCATATGGACAGCCTAAAAGAAAGTCTGCTTTGATAGCTTCTTTCCAGCCTAACCAAGTCTCAAAAACTTCATATATGTTGGGTCAATAGAGTTAGGAACTGTTGTAGGGCTGCAGGAATCCACTGAAAATTCATCATTCCTAAAAGCTATGGGGGTTGACATAAATGCTAGGAAGCCTACATCATAAGTTCCTAGTTTTTTGGCATCCTCCTCCACGCTATATTGGTTTAAAGACAATATTAATGGTGCAGCTAAGGGCACTCTTGCTAGATCTAGATCCGGTGGTATTTTTAGAGTTCATCATTCTTCCATTGTGGGATGACTTCATTTCTTGCTAATGAAGCTGCAATTGCTAGAGGCTGGACTAATCTATGAATTGCGTGAGATTCAAAACTTATAATTCAGGCTTGATAAACTTGCTGACTTTGGCATTAGGTTTCAGGGATATACATGGCGGAATAATGTTGTTAGTTTTATTTGCCTTGAGTTTTCAACGATAGATTTGATTTACCATTCTATAGGATTAGGGATTAATCATGGCTTTGGTTCGGTCCCCTACTTTATTTTGTATTTTATCTTTTTTATGACATTCTGAGTTGTTGCATATGACTGGTGTTGTTCGCCATGCCAACTTAGTTCAGATGACTAATAACATAGTGATGCTTCAACACTCTCATTTTTATGATTTTTTTATTTATTTAGAATAATATTTATAGACATATCACATCATATATATAAGAATAAAATCTCATAATTATTTGCATATATTGTAATCAGCTTGTAGTCCACATATAGTTTTGAGTATCTCTTGCTATCATTAGGATCCTGATTGATGTAAATATTTCTCTGGTTTAAACTGCGTTGTATCCAATCTGATTCAAGGAATGAAGTCAGTTGCTTCTGTAATATTTCACAAAAAGAAAATTCCATATAGAGATTGTAGCGTTTGAGGCTTCCGTCCATAGAAGCAAGCCCTTTTCTTTAAATTTTTTTTTAAAGCAAGTCCCTTTTCAAAGCATTCACAAGCGAATTCCAAACATTAAAAATGGAATACATTTTTCTAATCATCTGATAGTTATAAACATGAAGTATCACTCTAATACATTTACAAGATTTAAGAGACAAAATAGCAGGTGGAAGCAATCGAATGGTATCATTTCTAATTATTTATATTTATGTTTTTGGCAACTAGGTGGAAGTATGTACCTCTCGTCCAGGTGCTATCTCTACAAAAACTCCATATGAAGCTATTGATTTGATTTCACAGTTTCTGAAGAATAAAAGGCAGCACAATTATACATAATTTATCAATATTTCTCTTTGCAAGCATATGAGAAAATAATTAAAAAAATAACAAGAGGAATATATATTTGTTATATTTATTATGTTTTTGAAACCTTTAATTAATATTATGCTTTTTTATTAGATCCCTCAATTTTCGAAGGTTATAATTTAGTTCTCATAAATTTCCATTTTCATTTCCCATACAGTCCCTTTGTTAGTTTGTCATTTTGTCCATTAAGTATTATTTTTTACTTATTTTCTAGCCTCTCAAAACATCACCCATTTTCTGCTTGGTCCCTTGTTGACTACGTAGACACTCAACAGACAAAACAAATAGAAGCCTAAAAAAGGGACTAAATGGGAACAAAAAAAAAAAATTGAGGAGTATCTGGGGACCAGTTGTGAGAATAATAAAATTTCTAAAACAGAAATTTGTTTGAAAAAAAAAAGAGAGGAAACAAATATAACCAGAAAAAGAAGATATAGATACCTGTATATATCACCAACACTTGGAACCATCGCCAAACTACTGATGATAGCCTTAGATTTCTCTAAACTAAGCAAATCTTTTGCAAATATTTTCACCTACAAAAACCGAAGAGTTGTTCATTGTATACCAATAGAAGAGTTAGCTGTAATAATGATGAAAAAGCGTGTCGACAAGCTGAATTTTATCGTACGATGCCGTTATCGTCTGCATCAATAGCTTCTACTCCAGATTCCTCAATAATGCTCTTGACTTTTTTCCCACCAGAACCAATTATAAGATTTACTCTATCCGGTTTCACCTGTAAAAAATGTGCACGTGATAACCCATGGATGATAGGGTGAAAACAAATGAAGGAGAAAACGGAAAGCAACAAACAGACCTTCATAACATGAATCAGAGGAGCATATTTTGAAAGCTTATTTGCTGGAGGAGGTGAGCAATTCATCATTGCTTCTGATTTAGGTAACAAAAGGGAGAACAAAACACAGGTATTTAAGATGTCAACAACAACAGAAGAAAATTAATATAAAACTTCAAAAATATAAAAATGTTTCTTTTTAATTTTACACAACTAACTATATTGGACTCCATACCACATGAAGACTGTGCTTATTTGACAGAAAATTAGAAATGTTGTGACAGGAAAGTGCCTACACAAGATATTGTATGTTCCTGGTAGAAACTTGGTGACTTAGAGAAGTAAGACACAAAATGTAGATGCAAAGTTCAGTGTAGAGGCAGAGCTTCAAGCTATGGCACAATGGGTGTGTGAATTGTTATGGTTGAAAATTAGTCTGAATGATCTTAAAGTGAAATATGAAGAACCTATGACTCTCTTTTTTGACAATAAATTAGCTATTAGTACTGCTCACAGTCCTTTCATGCATGTTTAGACCAAGCATATAGAGATGGGCCAACCCTTCAGCAAAGAAAATTTGGATTGTAGTGCTATAACTTTTGTCTACATCCCATCAAGACTTCAACTTGCAAACTTATTAAAATCTACCGGTTTCATAATCTTACATGCAAGCTGGTATGATATCCATTCACCGTCTTGAGGGGAATGCTGAGTTACAAGAGATATTTTGTTTGATTTATAAAAATTGTATTAATTATTACTAAAGTAGTTGAGGTGCCATAATGATTATTGAGGTCTCTAGAGTACTTTATAAATAGAGCATTTTTGTACTGTTTTGAATCAAGAGATAGAACTATAGTTTTATCTTCAGTATCTTTTTCCAATTTTTTAGTGAAGGTTACTCAATTCTTTTGTTTTCTAAATCTATATGACTTCAGTTGTAGCAAGTGTTTTTGACATCTTTCCTAGAGCGCGCAACAATTGTTTGCTTTTCAAATCAACCAGAAACAAGATTAGGGCCAAGGAATATCGAGGCACTAGATGTGAACCTCCTATCATCAGATTTGAAGGCCCAATTTGCATCACAATAAGCATAAAGGGTGAAGGGAGCTTGAGACTGTGTTGGTTGAAGAAGGAGTCTCCAATAGTGAATCTCATCACCTTGGTGTTGAGAAAACACAAATGCACTACAAGACGAAAGTAAATAATAACAACACAAAGAATTTACATGATTCGGTCAAAATGACCTACATCCACAACTGCACCAGATGATAGTTCTCATTTCCTTAATGAGGTTTACAATTACATGAGTATTTATAATAAAATAATAAGTAAATTGGTCAGACTCAATAACCCTTCAAACTCCACATACCTAACAATCTTCCATTTAAAGGCTGATCACATCAAGTATACTCCATAATAAATCTAGTAAACCTCAAAACTATAACACCCCCAAGCTAGTGCAATGCCTTCTCAACAGTTAACCATGAAGGCCATTTAAAGTTATACAAAACTTTAACTTCAAAGAAGTAACCACCTTAGTCAACGTATTTGTAGAATTTTCTGATCAAGGATCTTCTCCAAAACCAAAGTAACATCATTTATTAGATCTCTAATGAAGTGATACCTCAACTAGATGTGTTTTGTTCTTACATGGAAAACAGAATTCTTCAACCAAACTATTTTCTTACTGGCTTCAAAAATAGTCATGTACGTTGCTTCTGTGGGTGAAAGTGCAACGCTTTTCTGAAGTCGAGACATCCAACTAATTGTTGTGCCACCTACTATGAAGACAAATCCTGTAATACTCTTCTTGTGTCTAAAAATCTGCATTAAATATCCTTCCAAAATGATATCATTTCTTCTAAAACATAATGCAGTTTTAGCAGGACCTTTCAAGTAGCATAACAACCACTTGATAGTTTTCCAATGCTTCCTTCTTGGATTAGACAAGAATCTGCTAACAACTCCCACTGCATGAGCAATGTCTGGTTTAGTCCATGCCATTGCATAAATTAGGTTAGCGACTGCAGATGCATAAGAAACCTTAGTCATTGCTGCCTTATCTTTATCTGAAAGACTCCTCTTTAGTAAGATTAAAGTAAACTTCTAAAGGTGTACTTACGATTTTGATATCCTGCATATTGAATTTCTTTAACACTTTCCCAATATACTTCTCTTGAGATAATATTAGGGAAATTTCAAATTTAATCTTACTGCTATCTCTTGTTGCCATCATGTTTTTCCTTGATCCGAAACACCCACTTATTCTGCAATGCCCTCTTTCTTATTGGTAGGTTGATCAGACACAAAGTTTTATTTTACTCAAGTGGGTTCATCTCCTCTTGCATGACCAACTCCCACTGAGCTGCATCATCCATCTGTACTGTCTCACGATAACACAAAGGTTTTCCATCGTCAGTGAACAACAAGTAATTTGTTGAAGAAGAAAATCTATGAGGAGGCCTAATAACTCTACTAGATCTCCTCATTTCAACTACTGGGAACTACTGGGGTGACAAGAGTGATCTTCTCAACAATCCTGTCTCTTGAGCTCCCACCTTTTCCTGCAAGATCGTCTGCGTAATATCTTCTAACACTACCTTTTTCTTCTCTGATGGCTTCTTTTCAACTTCAACTTTTGTCTCTAGTCTGCCCTTGTACATTGCATTTTCATTAAATGTAACATTTTTTATTCTAATGATCTTTTTATTTTGATCATCCTAGAAGTGATATCCTATATCATCTGTTCCATAGCCAATGAAAATACGTTTTCTTGCTTTCAGATCAAGCTTGTCCCTGTCAACATTTTTAACATGAACATAAGAAAGACAACCAAATACTTTCAAATGAGAAAAACTTACATCCTTGTCATTCCTCCTTAGGAATCTTAAATCTTATGAGAACTGAGGGTCCTCGATTAATGAGGTATGTTGTTGTGCTTACGGTTGTTGTCCAGAATGTCTTCAGTAATCCTACATGAATTGTCATACTCTTTGTCCTCTCATTTAAGGTCTTGTTCATTCTTTTAATAATACCATTTTGCTAAGGTGTCTCAGGAATAGTTTTAAGCATTCTAATTCCATTCTCAGTAATTCAGTACTACTATATTCACCACCATTATTAAACTTTAAACATTTAATTTTTAACCATGTCTCATTTTCAACAATAGTTTTCCACTTCTTAAAGGTAATAAATACTTCTGATTTTTGCTTCAAAAAATAAACTCATATCTTTCTAATAGAATCATCAATGAAGGTGACATAGTATCGTGATCCCCCCAATAATGAGATTGATGTTGACCCATACACATTTGATATGAACAAGTTCTAACTTCGCTACTTTGGACATTTTCCTTGATTTAGCAAAAGTAACTCTCTTCTACTTCCCAAACACACATGGTTCACAAAAACCAACTTTTACCTTTTTCAATTCTGGAATCTTCCCTTTTGAGACTAGTATCTTCATACCCTTCTCGCTTATGTGACCAAGCCTTTGGTGTCACAAAGTCGAAGGCTGACCAACATTATCACTAATTGAATTTATTTATTCTACATGTAATTCTGCCATGTATAAGATTCCTTTCTTCCAACCACGAGCAACAACTAGATTACCCTTCATCACCTTCCATTGACGTTTTTCAAATATGACTTGATATCATTGACCATCCATCATACCCATAAAGATTAACTGGGATATATTTGACATCCTTTAGTGTACAAACTATACTAGTAAAAATTTTTAAGATTTATATCTCATGTCTAAAGCTTCATCATCTACTAGACGCACTTTGTCAAAATTCCCACTTCTAAATTTTTTTATTAAGTCCTTGCAAGGAGAAGCATGGAAAGATACACCAAAATCCATGATCAAGAATTCAAACTTGCTCTCAACACAACATATCAATGCATCATCAATGTCTTCTTGGGTTGCATTCACTATATTATCCTGCCCCTTTTCTTTAAGAGCAATATACTAGTTTTTAAAGTGTCCATTCTACTGACAATTCCAACAAGTAATATCCTTGCGAGACTTGGACTATCCTCGCTTCTTGGACTTTGATCTACCACGCCCAAAGCCTTGCCCTCTTTTAGGATTTCTACCTCTACCTTTGGTACTTAATAAGGAATTTGTTTATTCTCCAAGATTTCTTTTACGAAGATCCTTATTAAGGATTAAAACCCTAATTCCTTCAAAGGTTAATTTCGTAGTCCAAGATGTATTGGCTTCTACCGTGACAGTTCCTGACCAACTGTTAGGCAATGAAGATAGCAACAAAAAGACTTGTACTTCATAATCAAATTTAATATCCACTAACACTAATCTTGACAATAAGGAATTAAATTTATTCACATGATCTGTAACACTAACACCTCGTATCTTCGAATTAACTAACTAAAGAATCAAGAATACCTTGTTTGATGTTGATGGCTTCTCGTACATGTTTGATAATGCCTTTATCAAACCATATGTCTTCTTCTCGTTAACGATGTCTTAGGCAACATTTATCATCAATGTTAATCTAACGACGCACAAAACTTGTCGATCTAGCAACTCCCAATATGCTTGACACATCATTTCTTGTTTATTTTCGAACAAAAGCAAGTGTAACTTTTTCTGATACAAATAAGATAATCCTTACTGCATGTTCCAAACTCCAAAATCCTTAATGTGCATTGTTGGGAGAGCACAAATGCAATACAAGACGAAAGTAAATAACAAAAACACAAGGAGTTTACATGACTCAGTCATGACCTATGTCCACGGTTGCACTAGATGCTAGTTCTCATTCACTTAATTAGGTTTACAATTATATGAATATTTATAATAAAATAATAAGTAAATGGGTCAAACCCAATAACCTTTCAGACTCCACACACTTAACAATAGGTGCCAAGATGTCTTAAATTCCACGATGACCCAAGTTAGCATGTCATGCATGCTTGATGATTGGAGCTAGGAGAGAAGAAGTTGATCTTGTTGCTCCCATCAAGATATTAATGGTCAGAAATTTGAGGGTTCAAAAGAAAATGATGCAAATGATCACCTTTAATGATTGGTTCACCGGTTATTCACTGGTTTAATGTAACTTGGTAGTGGTAAATTTAGGATCTAGTTTCTCATAAATAAAGTGAGAAAAGGGTAAAGAGGGTGATGATGACATCTTCATAGTGAAGTTATTCACCGGTTTAACGAAACTTGGTAGTGGTAAAGGAGCTAAATTGGGTGAGATAACCTTTTGAAGGATCAAACTAAGCTCTTATGTCATATTAAGGTTTGGAGAGAGAATTAAGCAGAAATTTAGATTTATGTAAAATGAATTTTTAACCTAACATGTAACGACCCTAATTAACTCTAGTTATGAGTTAGAGGAGACAGCTATACTATAGTGACAGTTATTCCTGTACTACTGCTGTACAGAAATAGACTATAGTTTTGCAGTGTAACCATACTCTAAAGTACAAAAACAAATGTTTAACAATGCCATGTCTTGACTGTCTATTGGGAAAAAAGACCCAATTTATGAAATCTACAAATTCACTAACTGCAATATATTTCGTAAGACTATAGTTTTAACTTTACCAAGTATATGCTTCCTGCCATCTCTTGCTTGTAGGAGTGCCTTTCTCATGATGGGCAAAGTGACTCCACCCACCTGCAACAAGAAATATTAATAGCCATTCGCAAACACCAACATAAAAAATATAGATATCAAATAAAATAACTTATTTAAGCAAATAAGGAAATGAATAAAAATAACAAGTGAAAGATAGTTAATTAATGCATAATGAATGTGCTCCATTCAAATAGAATAGAAAATTAGACTTTCAAAATCCAAATTAACAAGAAAAGTGGAAATAAGCATATTAAGATATTGCATTAAAATGCTCATAATATTTACCTTAATGTCCATTTGAAATGCAGTTACGCCATCTTCATTGCCAGCAACCTGCATTATATCATTGTTATTAGAAAATACGTGAAATATTCAATGATATCATTCTTGTATTTAGAATATTTGAGTATATAGGCCTATTTAATTAGAATCGGATTTTTTAGAGTTTGAGGTATATATATATATATATATATATATATATATATATATATATATATATATATATATATAGTCTCCATTAATTATCTGTATTTATTGCAAACATCCTCTATAGAATGGACTCTATTCTTTACTCTAGATACAATTTTTTAGCTTGTCTTACATGTTTTTCCTATTTCAACAAGCTATCATACTGGTAACATCCTCTATGATCCGTTTAATCACTATTTTGTTTTGAATTCCCAAAAAAAATAAACTCCAACTAGTCACCTTTGATTAATCATGCTGTCAAATGTTCTCCATGCAGTTCACCTTTTTGTCTGTCATCTGCAACCTCAAACAGATACTATTGCCATCAGCCACCCACCTTTCCAGCAATCTATGTTTGCTGACCATGACTTCTTCAGCAGTGTTCATTTTGCCGGATAAACTTTTCCAATGATATGCATATTAGTAGTGATTTCTTTCCCACTAACAATCATTCCGATGGCAACTCTTTTCCCGAAATGGATCATAATAGTGATGACTTCTTTCCCACCACTTATCATTCCGACAAGAACTCTTTGCACACTGACAATATTATTGTTTTGAAGCTTTCAAATGTGGTTTCCAGAAGGCTGAACCACGCTTTCCTTGCCATGAAATTTCTCAGTCATATCATTCCAGCTATCTATTTTTTTTCTTATAAAAAGGTAGCTATGGAAAAACATCTCTATGAGAAAATCCCAACTAGGTTAACTAGGTTGGCACCCCAAGCTACATCAATCATTTGCAACACACCAAAATGTCACATAAGAAATAAAGAGAAATAAAGTGGTGAACTAAACCAAAACGCACTCAGATACAAAACTATAAAAAGGTAACTGAAACCTATCCCTTTAAAAATAATATATAATGGTTATGATGCTCATGAATTCATATTTTGATCATATTGGGGATCAAATCTTTATAGGACAAGAAGTTCCAACTGTGGAAAGTCTGACAAGACTTCTAGGTGTTCCAAAAATGTAGAAATGTGCAAGTGTTTGTTGAATGTTCTAACATGGTATCTACATGGGAGAGGAGGACGTAACATTGGAGGAGGAGAGCATGGTGCTAGAAGACATCCTCAATGCATTAATTGTAAGAAAATGAATCACGAGTCAAACTTCATGGATAATTGACTCAGGTGTTTTTTATTATATCTTTGGTAATACCCCTTTTTTCTCCTCCTTTTCCTTTCCTAAAAATCCTCATTTCATACCTTTAGCCAATAATTCTAAAGTTTTTCTCAAGAAATAGGTCAAGTTTCCTTTCTCCTTCCTTAAAGCTAGAATTTGTTCTTTTTGTTCTTGCATGTCCCTTAAACCTTATTTCTTTAGGTCAACTAACCAAGTCATTAAATTGTTCAATAACCTTTGATGTCAATTTGTTTATTATACACTATTTGAAACTAGCTCCTCTTTGTATTGATTTGCATCCTCAGCTCCTAAGATTTTACATAATCATTTGGGTCATCCTCATTTATCAAAGTTGAAGCAAATGGTTCCTAAACTTAAAATTAAAAGAATTCAATCCTTAGAATGTGAGTAGTGTCAACTAGGAAACATGTTAGATCTTCTTTTCCCAAACAATCTACATCGAGATGTAACTATGTCTTTTATATCATTCATTCTACATTTGAGAACCTAATCATGTCTCATCTTTTATATTGAGATATTTCGTTACTTTCATTGATGAATATGGGTTTATTTAATGAAATAAAAAATCAATTTGATCAAGTCATAAAAAATTTCCAAAAATGACAATACAGAAGAATATATTTCCTCTACTTTTTCTCACCTTTTAAGTTCATATGGTATTTTACATCAGTCTACTTATTTCACACACCTCAACAAATTGTATAGCAAAAGAAAAAGCAGACATGTGATTGAAATTGCTTGTACCTTATTGTTTAGTATCAATATTTGTCTATCATTGGGGCGAAACCATTCTTAGTATGTGCTTTCTTATCCATAGAATGCCCTCTTCTTCTCATTAAAATAAAGTTCCTTATTCCATCTTATTTCTAAATGAACCCTTGTTTAGTATTTCTCCATGAGTATTTGGTTGTGTATTTTTTGTCCGTAATTTGTCTTCACGTCAGCCAAAGCCATCAAATGTGCCTTCTTGGGATTTTGTCAGTTTCAGAAAGGGTATTAATGTTATTCTCTGGAAACCAAGAGATATTACATGTTAGTAAGTGTCACATTTTTTTATCAAACACCCTTTTTCTCATCTAGATAGAATGCTCATTTTTGTCAAGAATATCTTATCTATGGCACTAGTTAAGACCTTCGTTCCTCGTACTCCTAACAATCAAAATACAACCCCAAGTCCACTTGAACCATTACCACCACCTCATTACCTACCAACATAAGCCACAAATAACTAATGCAATGCCCTAAGGTTAATCCTGTTGAATATAGAGAAAATAAGGTTTGAGATTAATCTCCCTTGTATATAAACCACACATAGGATAATTTATTTATAATAGAGAGAGGTCCAATTAAAAGAGTAATTAAAAATAAACAGAAGATATTGTTTGATATTATGGTTAACAATATCTTAACAATATCAAATAATATCTAAACAATATTTAACCCTCTCCCTCAAGCTAGAGCATACAAATCGTATGTGTTAAGCATGTTACAAATATAATCAATTCTAAGCCCCCGTAAAGACTTAGTAAAAATATCTGCTAACTAATCACTTGACAATCAATCACAATGTGTTTGGTCCTCTCATGAAAGACAGGATTAGAGCTAATATGAAGAACAACCTGATTATCACGCACAAGTGTCATTTGAGTGACATCTCCAAATTGTAACTCTCTAAGCAATTGCTTGAGCCAAACAAATTCACAGGCAGTTGAGGTCATAGCTCTATATTCTGCTTTTGCATTGGATCTTGCTACAACACTATATATCTTACTTTTCTATAAGATCAAGTTACCACCAATGGAGACACTATTCAGATGTAAATCTTGTCCGAAGAAGATCCTGCTCAATCAGCATCTGAATAACAAACAACTCTTGTATGGTTATTAGAACCATATAACAATCATTTTCCAGGAGGACCTTTAATATACTTCAAGATACGAATGACTGCATTTCAATGATCTTCACATGGGGAATTAAGAAATTGGCTTACCACACTGACTACAAAGGAAATGTCAGGACGAGTAACTATAAAATAATTCAATTTTCCAACCAATCTTCTATACTACTCAGGATCAGATATAGGTTCCCCCTGATTTGATAGAAGTTTAGTATTAGGATTCATGGGTGTATCAACAGACTTTGAACTCATCAACCCAGTTTCCTCCAAAATATCTATGACATACTTCCTTTGAGATATAACAATACTATCATTGGACTTTGCCACCTCAATATCTAAGAAATATCTAAGTTTGCCAAGATCTTTGGTCTAAAAATGGTGATAGAGATATTTCAACTGAAAGATGTCATGATTGTCACTACCTGTAAGAACGATGTCATCAACATATACTATCAAGTAAACACATCCAGCACTCGAGTGTCGATAAAAGACAGAATGAACTGTTTCACACCGAGTAATACCAAATTGTTGAACAACCTTGCTAAATTTTTCAAACCATGCCCTAGAAGACTATTTTAGGCAATATACGGATTTGCGAAGACAACATACCATTCCCAAAAACTCCCCCCGAGCAATAAACCCAGGAGGTTGCTCCATATAGATTTCTTCTTGTAAACCACCATTGAGGAAAGCATTTTTAACATCCAGTTGATAAAGAGGTCATTGTTGAAGAGCGGCCATGACGATAAATAAACGAACAAAAGTCATCTTTGCCACAAGAGAAAAGGTATCTCCATAATCCAACCTAAAAATTTGAATATAACCTTTGGCCACAAGACGAGCTTTGAGGCGATCAATAGTACCATCAGATCCAACTTTGATAGCAAACACCCACCTGCAACCAACAACAGATTTCCCAAACGGTAACGGGACGAGTTCCCAAGTTCCACTATTATGAAGAGCACTTAGTTCATCTATCATGACCTGACGCCAACCAGGATGGACTAAAGCTTCACGAACAGTTTTTGGAATGGTCACAGAAGAAATAGAGGAAAAACATGTATAAAAAGATAATGACAATCGATGATAACTCAAAACAATATAATGGGGAGAGAGATTACGTGTAGAACAGATACCTTTCAGGAGGGCAATGGGAAGGTCAGACTCAGGTGTCAAATCCGGAGGAGACAGAGTGGAGTCACACGGTGGTGGTTGTGATTGGTTTTGACAACTATAAACCTGAAGAGGCGGTGGAAGCTGACTGCGGAGAGCAGGAACTAATGGTGAAGAAGACACAGTTAGAGGGTCACAAACAACATGAACATTAAATATATTAAGAATGTTGATAGGACTCGCCCTCGCAAACAGAAAAGGACATCCTAAGTGTGAACATTGTGGCAAGTTAGGTCACAAGATTAATAAGTGTTATGCATTACATGGTCGTCAATCCTCTTGGTCATGTTCTTTTCAATCATCACTCAATAGGGAAGGCAAAACGGGTCAGCTCGCCCCGTTTTGGCCCATCCCACCTTTGGCCCGCCAAAAGCGGGGCGGGACCGGCTGGCCCGTTATAGTCATGACAGACTGTAGACCTTGGCCCGTCCCGCTAAGAGACGGGTTGGCGAGCTGGCCCGCCATAATTTAGAAAAAAATATTTTATTTTTTAAAATAATAAATTTAATAATAAGATTATTATTTGTTTGTCAATAATTTAATTTAATAATATAAATAAATACATTGTTTTAAGAAATTATAATTTATAACAATAATAAAATTTACATAATAATAAATAATAACAAATATATATATATATATAACGTTAAAACTTATAAAATTCATATTTTTTATATTGAAAAATTCAAATACCTATATCTTTTTTATTTGATAAAACTTCACATTATTCTTGGTTGAGTAATTCTTACACCTTTAATTCAAGTCATAAGGATAAAAATAATCGGTGCTTAGGATGAACAAGCGAACAGGAGAGAGAAAGTTGTGTTTAAGTAAGGAGAATATTTTTTGTAAGAGTGAAACTTTTTTAATTCTCTTTTTAAACTTTTTAACTTTATATTATTTTTATAATTAACTTTATTACAATAAAAAATTATTTTTTATTAATTAGGCGGGTTGCGGGCTGGCTCGCTCCATCTCGCGGGTTGGCCCGGCAGGTTGGCGGGCTTGGTGGGGCGGGCCAAAGCAGGGTGGTAGGCTGAAAACACCAACCCGCCCCGCCATATTATGGCGGGCTAGCGGGCCGGCCCGCCGGGCCTGGCCCGTTTTGCCATCCCTATCACTCAATACCACAATTCCTGATAATTAAGATCCAAGTTGGCACATTATTATCTGCAAAGGTACTCATTTGATCCGTAATTCACATCCTATTTACAATTTTCTCAATTATCATTTGTTGTCTCCCTCCCTCTTACTTTCATTTGTTTCTTCTCTTATAATTCCTAAAATTGAGAAAGAAGCACTTGATCATATTGGGTGACGTTAAGTCACGATAATAACACTTGGGAGTTAGTTCCTCTTCCATCTAGGAAGAAGACAATTGGATGTCGCTGGATTTATGATATTAAAGTTGGACCCAATGATAAAGATGATCACCTCAAAGCTAGATTGGTGGCAAAAAAGTATACTCAAATCTATAGTGTTGATTATGGTGATACTTTCTCTCTTGTGGCCAAGATGATTATTATTCATCTCTTCATTTCCATATAATTATTCATCATTGCCCCCTCCATTAATAGAATATTAAGAATAACTTTCTTCATGGTAATCTAGAGAAGTCTACATAGAGTAAAATCCTTGGTTTGTTGATCGGGGGAGTCTAGTCTGGATTGTAAATTGTGTTTCTCTCTTTATGGTTTGAAGCAATCTCCATGAACTTGGTTTGGAAAATTTGGTCATATTGTCCAAACCTTTGGTTGAAAAGCAATGAGCTAGATCATTAAGCTTTTTAATGTCATACTTCCTCTAGACAATGTGTTTACTTAATTGTGTATGTTGGCGAAACAGTTATTATAGAAAATAATATTGTTAGAATCTCTCAACTAAAGAATGCAATAACTTCTAGACTAAATCAAAGAAAGGAATTGTAATGTAGACAAGTAGATAGTTCTACGAACCCAAACCAGAACTTAATGGTTGAATAGAGTAAACCTTTCTCTTAAAAAAAATATATAAGACTTGTTGGAAAACTTATTTATCTTACTATTACTACATTTGTTGTGTAGTCCAAGCATATGGATTTAGCCTATAATATCTTTATTTTCTGTCTTAACATTGTTAAAACATCTCTTTTAGCATTATGATATCAAACTAGGTTGATCAGATACAAACGAACTAGAAACAAAATCATAGAACAAACCCAATTGAACTCCCTACATTACTTATCATCTAAAATAATCACATGAAAAATAAGTAGCACAAGTTCAATTATGTAAATCTCAACCTTGAAATCCATATCTCCAGATGCATCTTCAGATCCAATTATGTCAGACAGAATAAGTGGAGTTCCATCTCCACCAAATTCCTTGGTGTCCAGTACCATACCCATTGCAATTCCAGCAATAGAGCACTTAATAGGAACACCAGCATCCTGTAATGCTAAGCAAGCTCCACAAACAGAAGCCATGCTATAATAAGATAAAAATTTCATATTAATCGTGGCAAACTTTGAAAGCTATGCAGAAAAAAGAACAATAGTATACTGTCCAAATATAAATCTATGTGTCTATTGAAATGATTACTTGTAATTGTGTGTTGCGCACACAAGTATTCTTATTTATAATGAAGAAGAGATACATTACTAAAGAACAAAATAAGTAATAATGAGAAATATTTGCAAAGATATTTCCCTATTTAATATAACCAAATCATATAACATTTTCTGTTTAAGGTAATGAAATCATATTTTCAACACTCCCCCTCAAACCAGAGCATTTGTATAATATGAATCAAGCTTGTTTCAAATGTCATGAGCACAAGACCCCCTGAGAAAGTTAGTGAACATGTCAATGGTTGCTCCAGGCATGTCAAAATGATGTGCTGAGGAGCTGGTGGCACATGACAGCAGTTGGACATGAGCCAGGCTGTGAAGTGGTTGAATGAGAAGGACAACTCCAATTGCAAGATTGCATTAGAGGTAAGAGGAGAAATGGCTGTTTAAGTGAAAAAAGGTTTGTACGAGACAACAGTTTCCTGATAGCAAAAAATACTTGGAGGGAAGCAGCTGCCGGAGAGACAAAAATCCATGGACAGCACAAACACTGCCAAAGAACAAAAATGTTCAAAGGGTGCGACAGCTTATAGTGATCATGCAACTTATTACAAAGCTCATAGGAGAGGATGCAACCAAGAAACATAGTAGTTAATAACAGAGTGCATGCTCTCCGGATATTGTTAACTCCAATCAGACAAATATTAACTAAGCTCCTTACAGTTAGTGATCCTCAGGTTGACCTTGTAATGAAGTTGATGTGTGTGAGAAGAGAAAATCAAATTTTATTTTCTGAATTTGCTAGAGTGAGTTCACCACTAAGCAGAGTGATATATTTATACGCTAAATTCTAGTTTTAGTCATTTATGTTTTGATGCTTTTGCATTTTGGTATATTAAGTTTTAAAATTCCCAATTTGGTACTTCATGTTTTTAAAAACATTAATTTTGTTTTTTTTTTACTAAAAACTTTAAATAGGTTAACAAAAATGATTGACGAATTTGTTAACCTACTTAATATTTTAGTTAAAAAGAACAAAACTTAACCTTTTCAAAAACATAAAGTATCAAAGTGAAACTAACTTTGTTAACAATCATGTCAGCCAACTCTATTAACCTATTGAACGCTTATGTTAAAATGATCACAATAAACCTTTCCAACACATTGTACCAGATTTTGACTTTTAAGACTTAATGTCTCAAATGCAAAGAACACCAAGACATAGAGGACCTAAAGTAACATTTAGCCTTTATAGTATAATGATTACAAAGATAATAAACAACTAATATTATTTCCAAGACAACTAGTTCCTAAGCTACATAAAACTAAGCTACTTGGAAGACTAATAAATGCTCCTATTTCCAACATCACGTGTTCTCCATCTTGTAAATGAAAAGTTTTAGATTTAGGCTTTAGAACATCTATAAATATATAATCAACTATTTAAGTTGATTAGATTAAATAAAACAGTATTTATTACTTTATTAGGCTCGAGATTAGTTTGTGATTAAGACAATTAAAGCCTATCTGGATGATTTTCTCCATAAACTCATTCTAAAAGAGAAAAATTAGAAGAAAAATTGAAATTTGCTTTCTCCCCATAAACTAAAATTAGCTTATGCATGAGTTAATTTGTAGAAGCTCTCTCATATAGCTTCTCTAATTTTTTATTTTTAACTTGTACATTAGTTAATTTTAGCTAATGGGGAAGTCAAATTAATTTTTTCATCCTAGTTTTCTATCTTGGAAGGGCTTTTGAAGAAATTCATCAAAACAGGTCCTTACTCATGTAATTACTCTAATTGAAAATTAAACTATATATACCATAATAAATGAGTAGCCAAACAGATAATTTCATTTTTTCTGAGAATAATCATGACAATTGACAAAGAAATAAGGAAAATAGGAACATGAAAATAGAAAGAAGATTAAAAAAAAAAAAAACTCACCTTGAAGAGCCATTGCTTTCTGTGATAGTACTCTCTACACGTATAGTGTAAGGAAAATCATTATCAGAAGGCAAAATTCGTTCAAGGGATCTCTCAGCAAGCATCCCATGACCAATTTCTCTTCTACTCGGGGCACCAATCCGGCCAACTTCCCCAACACATGAAGGAGGAAATGAATACTGCAAAAATTATGAGTTAGTCAACAATTTCAAAAAATAAGCATAGATCTCTAATTTTTTTTTTTCTCACTATACAAGGTTCCACATGAGCAAGATGTGTAGGGTGAATGCACGGTTGGATTATATCGAATTTACATCTAGTTTGCATGGAAAGAATACTTGAGAAAACAGTCTTGGGACCAAAACTGGAAGTTGTTTAAGTTGTAGGATTTATGCATAGGATAACAGGCTCATCCAAACAATTTGAGAAAGGTCTACTTAAGACGGCAATAAGATCTTGACCAAAGAACTGGTATCTTACACTCTTGATACCATATTGAATACACAGATAAAGAAAATGATATTGTATGATAGTACTACTGTGTATAGAAAGATTACAAAGATGCTAAGCTTTTAATGCACAAAATATATGAAGACAGCTAACAAGATGGAGCTAAACAAACATAAAAGCTACGGAAATTCTCTTACACTCTCCTACAGAGAAATAGGAGATGTAGGATTGGATCAATGTGTCAAAAGACATAAGATCCTCTATTTACACTGGTAAAGAATACAAAATAAGGAATCTAAATAAAGTGTAATAAGGGAAATAACCCAATTGTTAGCTTTAGATATTTTGCTAGAGTACGTAATCATATCTTAAATATTAGCAACATATCTCCCTCTTTACAAAAGCATCATATATTTATGTATTTTAGTCAACAAAGGAAGTCCTGATGTTTTAGTTGTTTTCTTGAAAATAGTAGTTATTATACTAAATATTAAAAAGAGAGAAATATTTTTAGAGGGATTAATCACACCACTCTCATTATCCCATATATATAGATTCAGATAGGTACAACTCATAAATTACATTTAAATTCAACTACTACCAATCTATATTAATTCTAATAGTCACTTGTAATACTTCTAACAACCACCTATTTATAGTAATTCCAATACGCCCCCTCAAACTAGAGCATACAAATTGTATGTGTCAAGCATGGAAAACCAAAATTCAATCCGGGTTCCCCTTAAGGATTTGGTTAACACATCTGCAAGTTGATCATTAAAAAGAAACATACTCCGTACATATCTCTTTTGACAACAACTTTTCTCAAATAAAATAACAATCAATTTTTATATATTTAGTTCCCTCATGAAATACTAGATTAAAGGCAATGTGAAGAGCAGTTCGGTTATTATAATACATCTTTATTATCTAGATATTACAGAAGTTGAGTTATTGAAGGAATTGTTTCACCTATATAAGTTCACAAGTAAGAGAAGTCAATGCCATGTATTCAACCTCCGTAGTAGATCGAGCTACTACAGTTTGTTTCTTACTTTTCCAATAAATAATATTTCCTCCAAGAAAAACACAATATCCTATAGTAGAACGCCTGTCAGGGGGGGTTCCTGCCCAATCAGCATCACAATATTAAGAGATTTGGAATCTCCTTTATATTCGTATAGCAAACCTTGTCCTGGGACCTTTTTGAGGTACCTTAGAATTTTTCCAATGGTTATTACAAGGAGCTTGCATAAACTGACTTACAACACCCACTGCAAAAGATAAATTAGGTCTAGTGATAGTCAGATAAATAAGTCTCCCAACCAGTCTTCTATACCTTTCTGGATCATAGAACAATTCACAACCCTGTTCTGTCGTTAGCTTTTGATTTGGGTCCATGGGATTGTCTACTGGTCTACAGTCAATCATGTTTGTCTCCTTTAGATTATCCAAGGCATACTTTCTTTGGGAGATAACAACTCCTTCTTTTGACTGAGCTACTTCAATCCCCAATAAATATTTTAGGCTTCCAAGATCCTTAGTTTGAAAGTAATTACACAAGTGTTCTTTAGTTGAGACATTCTGGCAGCATCATTTCCTATAATCACAATATCATCAACATATGCAATCAAGTAAAACATTTCTCAGGAGAGGTGTGGCAATAAAAAACAGAATGATCAGCTTCATTGCATTTCAGCCTAAAAGTTTGAACAATTTGGCTAAACTTCCCAAACCAAGTACGTGGTGATTCTTTGAGACCATAGAGAGAACAACGTAACTTACACACCAATCTGGACTCTCCCTAAGCAACAAAACCAGGAGGTTGCTTCATGTAGAATTCTTCCTCTAAATCATCGTGAAGAAAAGCATTTTTAATATCCAATTGATAAAGAGACCAATGACTAAAAGCAGCCATGGCAAAGAAAAGGTGGATAGTAGTCATTTGGCAACTGGTGAAAAAATATCACTATAGTCAAGGCCATAGACCTGTATATCCTTTTGCAACTAATCCTGCCTTGAGACGATCAAGCTCACCGTTGGATCCAACTTTAATGACATAAACTCATCGACATCCAACAGTCTTCTTCCCAGGTGGAAGAGGCACTAACTCTAATGTGTGATTCTGGTCAAGAGTTTGCATCTCGGCAATCATAGTTTGTCACCGTCCAGGATGATTGACTGCTTCAGTCATATTTTTTGGAATAGAAATAGAAGATATATTGAGGATAGAAAAGAACAATAAGGAGACACCCTATGATAACTCAGAAAATTATAAATAGGATGAGGGTTGTGTGTAGAATAAATACCTTTTCTGATGACAATGGGTTAGGCTAAATCATCAGCATCAGGAGTCGTGCTATGGATTGTTGATTGAGAAGAACTTGAAGAAGAGGAATGATCTTAGAGCATGGGGCTAGGTGTGACGCACTAGGAACAATGAACTCAATTGTAAGTATAGGTAAGACCTCCTGGATGGAAGGGATATTTGGATCAGATGAAAAAAAGTAAAAGTAAGGAGTCTGTTCAAAGAATGTGACACTGACAAATATGTAGTACTTCTCAATTTTAGAAGAATAACACCGATATCCTTTTTGAAACCTAGAATAGCCCAAGAATATACTTTTAACAGCATAGGCAAATAGTTTATCTAATCCAGGAGACATGTCATGAACAAAGCAGACAACCAAACACACGAGAGAAACATAGAAGAGAAGGTCATTTGGGAAAAGAATGGAATATGGAATCTTATTGCTAAGAGAGAAGATGATATTCTATTAATAAGAAAACAAGTAGTAAGGATACCATCTCCCCAATAATGGGAGGTAAATGAGCACCAATCAATAAGGTACGAGTAGTTTCAACCAAGTGTTATTTTTTCTTTCGACAATACCACTTTGTTGAGAAGTCTCTCCAATAATGAACAGGTAAGTGAGCACCAATCAATAAGGAATGAACAGTTTCAACCAAGTATCTATTTTTTCTTTCGACAATACCATTTTGTTGAGGAGTGTGAGGACGAGTACACTGATATAAAATGTCATGTGAACTTAAAAGTGCAGAGAAATTAGAAGAGAGGTGCTTTTTGGCATTGTCACTTCTGAGAATTTTAATTACTTTACCAAATTGATTTTTAACTTCATTCAAAAAGGAGGTAAAGATGAATAATAGTTCAGAACGATCTTTCATCAAATACACTAAAGTAGACCTGGAACATTCATCAATAAATGTTACAAAATACTTAAACCCAAAAGATGAGACATGACTTGGGATCTGAATGGATAATAGAGAAAATAAAATTACATCTTGATTCAAATATTTTTGAAAAAGAAGCTCTGACATGTTTTCCTAGTTGGCATTACTCACATTCTAAAGCTTGAAACCACTAATTTCAGGAACTAATTTTTTTAATTTTGATAAGTGGGGATGGCCCAACTAATCATGTAACAGTTTTGGGATGACCCAACCGACCATGTACCACGTTCCTGTATGACAAAAGAATCAACATTAAAGGTTATTGAACAATTGAAGGACTTGGTTAATTGACTTAATTAAATAAGATTGAAGGGACAAGAAGGAACAAAAAGAACAAATTTTAAATTTAAGGAAGGAGAAAGAGAGACTTGACCGACTCCTTGGGATGCAGTTCTCACTGCTTGTTTTTTGAATAATCGAATGTCATCTTCTTTTCTTACAAATCAAACTTCACATTCTCTTATCTTTTCAGATGATCCTTTTTATCATGTAATCTCCATGTGTATTTGGTTGTATCTGTTTTATACATAATGTCTCCCCAGGTCTCCATAAACTAAGTGCAAAGGCCATTAAATATGTTTCCTTGGGATACTCTCGTCTTCAAAAAGGTATAAATGTTATTCTCTGTTGAAAGTTCCATATCGCCTACCTCATGTCATTTGGTATGGTTTAAATACATGTTAAGCTACTCCACATATTGCCAATTGGTTTTATGTTGGAACCTTAACATGGTATCAGAGTCAAAACCTAACATCTTTCCGGTTATTGTCATGGGCCAAAAGTTTCCCTTTAGTTGGGTCAAAAGTACCCTTTGCCTGGTTCGGCAGGCTTCGTTGGAGGGGGTGTGTTGAAAGTCTCACATTGCCTACCTCATGTCATTTGGTATGATTTAAATACATGTTAGGCTACTCCACATATTGCCAATTGGTTTTATGTTGGAACCTTAACTTTCTCCATCCACCAAATAGTATTCTATGTCTGTTGATGTCACATTCATTGAGGATGCACCCTCATTTTCTTCCTCCATGGAGGATGGTTCCTTTATTCAGCAAATTCTTCCTATACCTTCACGTGATCCACTTATGATACCTGATCCTTCTCCAACTCAGTCTATAGGTCATATTGATCCTCCTCCTCTTCTCACGTATCACCGTAGGATCCCTCCTACACCTTTCCCGATCGTGATTCAGAACATTTTCCATCAGCCTCTCATACCATAGATCTTTTAACCTCCTCTCCCACTTCTAATTTTTGTTCTGGATGGCTTATTGCACTCAGAAAAGGTATTTGTTCCACTCGAACTCCCTTCCCTATTTATAATTTTAAGTTATCATTGTTTGTCTCATTCATATTCTTTGGCCGATACTTTTATTCCTAATATTTTCATGAGGCTCTTGATCTGGATGACGACAAACTCAAATTGATGAAATGCAAGCTCTTGAGCACAATGACACTTGGGAACTTGCCCCTCTTCCTCTTGACAAAAAGATTGTGGGTTGTAGATGGGTCTATACAGTTAAAGTTGATAATAACGGTAAGTTGGATTGTCTCAAAGCTCGTGACTACTGTGATCCCTTTTTTTCAGTAGCTAAGATTTTCACTGTTCGTTTGTTTTCTTGATATGGCTGTTATTCGTTAAATGTCTTTCTTCATGGTGACCTTGAGGAAGAGATTTATATGGAGTAACATCCTAGCTTTATTGCTCAGGGGGAGTCTAGTTTAGTGTGTAAGCTACACTCGTCTCTTTATGGCTTAAAATAGTCACCTTGAACCTAATTTGGGAAATTCAATCATGTTGTGCAGTTGTTTGACTTGAAAAGGAGTGAGGCAAACCACTTAGTGTTTTACTGTCATTCTTCAAGAAAATGTGTTTATCTTATGGTTTATGTTAATGATATTGTTATTACAGACAATGATTACACTAAGACCAATAACTGAAGAATCATCTGTTGGGTCACTTCCAAACCAAAAATCTTGGTCAATTGAAATATTTTCTTGGTATTGAAGTGACCTAGTCAAAGGAAGGTGTGATCATTTTTCAAAGAAAATATGCTCTTGACATTCTGAAGGAGACAAGTTTAACAAATTGTAAGCTCATTGATAGTTCAGTGGATTCTAATAAAAAATTGATGGGAGATAAAGGAGAAAGGTTCTCAGATCTAGAGAGATATAGGAAATTGGTTGATAAACTCATTTATCTCACTATTACTAGACCAGATCTCTCTTATGCAGTTGGAGTAGTTAGCCAATTCATGCAAAATCCTTGTGTTAATCACTGGGATGCTTTGATTAGCATTCTGAGATATGTTAAAGGGGCCCAGGACAATGATTATTATATGAAGATAAAGGTAATACTCAAATCCTAGGTTATTATGATGCAACTTGGGCTGGTTGTTCCATTGATAGAAGATTTACTAATGGGTATTGTATCTTTATTGAAGGGAATATGATCTCTTAGAAGAGTAAAAAAGAAAGTGGTGTTGCTTGATCAAGTGCACAAGTTGAGTATAGATTTATCACGCTTGCTACATGTGAACTTGTGTGGATCAAACAGCTCCTTACAGAATTAAAATTTTGTAATAATCAACAGATGAAGTTGTTTTGTGATAATCAGGTAGCTCTCCGTATTACCTTCAACCCAGTGTTTCATGAAAGAACAAAGCATATCAAGATTGATTGTCATTGTTAGAAAGAAGTTATTGTCTAAGGAACTTATAACTGAGTTTGTAAACTCTAATGAGAAACTTGCAGACATTTTAACTAAATGCTTGAGGGGACCTAGGATTCAGTTCATATGTTCCAAGCTTGGTGCAAACAATCTATATGCTCCAGCTTGAGGGAAGTGTTGAGACATGTTTGTTTCCCTTTTTAATTTCTTCTCTTTTGTATGTTCGTTAAACTTGGGTTAAGGATTTGGGTTGAGGCCCATATCCTCTATGTTGTATCCCTTTTTCCATAAATACAATTGGAACAATGTCTTTGGACACTTCATTGAAACCTAATCAGTTTTCTCAAGTTACACTAAAAAAATACTACAACAAAATCGAAAAAAAGTCAAAATAATGGAATGAAAAAACTATTTAGCCTAATAAATGCATATACATTAGTGGTGTCTTAACATAAGCTAACTTAAATCACTTTCCAAATTTAAGTGATTCAATTATTTTGTGTTTGGTCCAATTAGGCCAATATATGAACCAATAATTTATTTGATTTGGATTTTTTAGTTAATAAGGTAAATCAAAACTGATAAACAACTCTATTCACAACCTCTATTCACAGGTCCAGCTAGCAAGTCTATTTGTGTTTTTCATATATTGCTCATATTTCTCATAATAGGTAACATCCACAAAAATATAATAGAACACAAAAGTAATCAAATTCTAAAGAGACCTGCAAATAGAACCTCTTCAATTCATCATCACCATCAAGACAATCTATTCTTTGTGCCATTTGTTTATCTCCAAGTGTAACCACAGCCAACGACTGCCAACCAGATAAAGCTGATTGATCACTCAGGTTAAGATATATATATATAAGTATAACTCTGAAGTACTAGGATTCAAACTATAAATAAAATACAAAAATAGAAAATTATTGATGGTTTTTAAGTAATCATGCGATGTTCTTAGTACACCAAATTGCCAAAATAAGGCAATATGAAAAACAGGTGACCAGACCCAAAATTGATAATGGAGAAACATACTCATGATTTTGGTCAAGCCCAAAAGAAAATACACATGTTTCATCAAGTCCGAAAGAAACAACAAAGTCACAATTGGAGTGGCTATCCTTGAAGAACATTTGGAGAAAATAACTTGTCCTAAGGTGGCTACTTTTTGTTCAGGCAGCAATTAAGAGTAGCAATTAAGTATAAATTATTATATGTACCCTAAAAAAGTTACAAAGTTAATAGATGCTGTTCTGTGCAATACACAATGGTTAATATATGGTGTTCTATGCAATACACAATGGTCAATTGATAGTATACTATTCTGTCATCACTAAACATGAGAGAAAATAGAATTTCATCCTTCTCAGTCATGTAATAACCAGAATAATCAATACACATACACAGTTCCAATCACTAGTGTTAAAGGTTCAAAGAGACGATAATACTAGTTTTGTTCCTCCTTTCTATTTGGTCATTCTATCTCTTCTAATAAAACTTAAAACAGAGAAAAGAGATAATGAGACTACACAAGCATATATAGCCACCAACATACATCATCCAAAGAATAAACTTGAAAAAACAAAAGTTGGCTCAGACCTGTGTTTCGCCTCTTGTAAAAAGAGCACTTCCATGAGCTCTGGGTAATAGGCCACATCTAGAGTTGATTGGTCGTATTCCATTAGGTGTTCGCCCATCACTCCTTTTCCCCCCCTGTTGCATACAGAAATTTTATCAATAAACATGGATCCATTATGTTTGTTAACCCATTATCTCACAATTACATTTCTTAAACTTACAAAAATTATATAAAAAAATTACATCCTTTTTGACAAGGACAAACTCAACCCAAAAGATTAAAATTAAAAGGATGTACAAGAATTGTTTTATAACATGTTTCATGAGTAGAACTGTAGAAAGTATTGTATAGTGATGACCAATTTAATTGCTTAAAATACTGTTATAAAGAAATCCTAGGAACTAATATAAAGTCATTGAATAAACTCTATAGTAAACAAGTCTTGAAAGGCACTATCAAATCTAGAAATGAGCTGCGTCACTCTGTTTTTCTAAGGATGTGAACAACATTCATGAAAACAGAAGTGTTGCATTATCCCATCCCCATACAGCTACTAGATACAGATAGGTTTATCTGCAGGGTTGGCATCCAAATATATGTCGACTTTGCAACAACCAATGCTGCTGCATTATCTTCTAAGTATAAACTGGAAATGATGAAAAAAAAATAATATGAACATATCTGGCATAAATATTAATTCAGTATCAGAAAGTATGTAATTACAAGATACCGAGGCCCAGACAGAGCAGAAAATAAATAAAACCAGAGGATCCAAAGTACAAACAGACCATCCATTTGCAGAGTTTACTCCAGGCAGAAAATAGAATGCTATGACTTCAATGAGACAGTGAGTATGGCAGTCATTAAGACATTAATTTTCAGACTTTAGAGTGAAATAACCACTATGAGGCAGATATTGTTAGGAGTACGGAGTAAGAAGTGTTGTACAGTTCCATAAATGAAGTTTGAAATTTGTCAATTTTAATCTAGGGGATAAATGAACCAACACTCCCCCTTTAACATACTTTGCTGGCTTCAACCTTTCAACTAGAGGGCTTCCCCTCATCCTACACTTCATTATTAAATATTCATGCTGTCCAATATGGGGAATCAGCTTCGTTCAATGTCAGCATCTCAGCCGCAAGAAATTGACTAATAAAATATAGTAGAATCAATAGTGCATGTCTCCGTTCAAAATATTTTCCTATTCGATGTAATAATGTAATCAAATCTTATGAGTCAAATCTTATCTTTAACACTCCCTCTGAAGTTAAATCATATGTATTATATGAGACATACTTATTTCAAATGTCATCACCACAGTGAACACGCAAATGAGTTGGTTGCTGGAACTAACAAAATTATTGATGACAAAACACCACGCATTGATTCGGGGGTTAGTGGTGCAAAGTTGTTGTGTTGTGGCATGCATATGGTGGCAGTTGGGTCTGAGCCAGGCAGCATAGTGTTCATCGGAGAAGGTAGCTTTGATAGAGGGGTAGCATCAGAGGTTGAAGATTGTTGTGCTCTGACAAGCACAACTGCTTAGAGGGCAGCAGCTTCCAGAGAAGAAAACTGCATGAACATGCGGTGACTTCCAGAGATCAAAACTGCTCAGAGAGTGTGGTGGCTTCCAGAGAGAAAAAATTGCTCAAGTGAGCATAATGGCTGCCTAGGATAAGATAATGATCAGATAGGACAGAGCAAAAATGTATGGAGAGCACGACAAAATGCTTGAAGGGTTTGGCAGTTGCCAGATAGCAAAATGCTACCAGGGCCCGGTGGCTACTAGGGAGCAAAACTGTTGCAGTGGGTATTTTGTTTACGCGAGAGAAGAAAAAAGAAGAAAAAAGTCAGCATGGCACAACATATTAGACACAGTAGAAGAGATGACTAATTGGAGTTCCATTTTTTCTTATTGTTTAGGGGAACTCAGGAGCAGAATAGTGACAAAGCAAGTCAAGGAAGCCAATAATACTCTTTAAATACTGTCAACAACCTCATTTTATTATTTTATTATTTAGAAGATTAGAATTAAAGAGTGGAAATATCCCTGATTAATAGGAATCCAATTATTTAAGTGTTGTTATTGTATTTCCTAATTTAGCTATCCAATCTTGTATATATGACTGATGTATTCCAGCAATAAAATCATTTGATTCTACCCTAATATTTGAGAAGATGAGATATTATTCAGTTTTATCTTCTGGACATATATGTGCATATGTGTACTGTTACATTCAAACTTATGGAGTGAATTACTTGGAAATATTTGTTCCAATTGCAAAAATGAATACAATCAAGGTGATATTATCCTAGCAACTAATTATGGTTTGAACTTGCAACAATTTGATGTAAAAAATGTCTTCCTCCATGGAGAACTTGAAAAGGAGATTTACATGGAATTTCCCCCAAGATAAAGTAAGAACTGCTGCCAACCCTGTTTGCAGGCTGAAAAAGGCATTGTATGGACTAAAACAATCATCATGAGCATGGTTTGGAAGATTTACTAAAGTCATGAAAAGTTTGGGCTTTAAACAAAGCCTAGGAGACCACACCATGTTTGTCAAACAAACTAAGTCAGGGGGAGTGACAATGTTACTGGCGTATGTTGATGATATTATAGTGACAGATGATGATGAAGAGGAGCAATAGCTGCTAAGCCAACATCTAGCCAAGGAATTTGAAATCAAGACCTTGGGAAAATTGAAGTATTTTTGGGAATTGAAGTAACCCATTCAAAAAGGGGAATTTTCATATCCCAACAGAAATACATTACTGACCTATTGAAAGAAACTAGTAGGCTAGCATGTCAGCTTGTAAGTTTACCAATTGATCCAAATTTGAAGATCGGAAATGCAAAAGATACAAATGTTGACAAGGAAATGTACCAAAGATTAGTTGGTTGACTCATATTTGTGTCACTCTAGACCTGATGTTGCGTTTGTGGTGAGTCTAGTCAACCAATTCATGCACCAACCAAAGGAGATCCACTTACGGGCTGCACTAAGAATTGTGCATTACTTAGAAGGGACCCAGGCAAAGGAATTTTGTTCAGACGAAATGGGAATGTAAGGCTGGAAATATAACAGATGTTGATTATGCAAGGATTGTGGATAGGAAATCAACTACTAGATATTGCACCTTTTTTGGTGGGAATCTTGTAACTTGGAAAAGTAAAAAACAGAATGTGGTAGCAAGATCCAGTGTTGAAATAGAGTTCAGGCAATGGCACAAGGAATGTGAACTACTATGGCTAAAGATTATCTTAGAAGATTTGAGAATAAAGAGGGATGAACCAATGAGACTTTATTGTGATAACAAGTCTGCTATTAGCATAACTCATAATCTAATGCAACATAATAGAATTAAATACATTGAAGTTGACAGACATTTTACCAAAGAAAAATTAAACAGTAGTCAGATTTGCACCCCATATATCTCTTCACAAGACAACCTTGCAGATCTTCTAAAAAAGGGCTAAATAACAACAACTTTGAAAGGATGGTTTCCAAGTTAGGAATGGAAAATACGTATACACCAGCTTGAGGGGGAGTGTCAACAACCTCATTGTTTTACTTCTTTATTTAGAAGATTACAATTAAAGAGTGGAAATATCCTTGATTCATAGGAATCCAATTATTTAAGTGTTGTTATTGTATTTCCTAATTTAGCTTTCCAATCTTGTATATATGATTGATGTATTCCAGCAATAAAATCATTCGATTCTACCTAATATTTGAGAAGATGAGATGAGATATTATTCAGTTTTATCTTTTATACAAATGTGTATTGTTACATTCAACAAATACATATTGAAAGGACTTGCTTGTAAGTGTATTTCTAGTACACACGTGAGTACTTTTGTGTATAATGAAGAGATACAATAATAAGGAACAGAATAAAAAATTAAGAATGGAAATATTTGCTAAGATATTCCTTATTTGCTGTAATCAAACCTTATCTTTAACCGTATAAAAATAAACTTACTTGATAAAGCCTTTTATTTTCTAGGACCAACTCAAACTAAAAGCTTAAATAGTTAGGTGCATGACTTTGAATAGTTTTACATTGAAACATGTTGTATCATGTTTGGGTTAGAAAAACGTGCCATTTCAGCCTAATACCATGTTGCCATTTGTTTAAGCTGTTTAACATGCAAGTCCAAATCAAAATGGATTAGTGTTTGCTGTAGTCAATTCATGATAAAAGTTCGGCATTTCCTACCTCATTGCCCATTGAAATGGTTAATGCATTTTAATAGCATGGAAATGGAATAATCTTACAATTTTAAATTTCAACAGTCAACATAGTAACTACTCTAAGACTCTTTCGAAGAAATACATCATTTGTGCTACCACAAAGACTAACAGAGGTGTTTGCCACAATTATACTCTTCAGCTCATAAGTAAACCTTTAGTAATCTTAATTATGTTGACAGAAGTCACCCAAAGACAGCAAAAATCACACAAAATTATGTTGAATAGTAATCTTAATTATTTTATCACAAGTATCATACCTGTACTATGCGCTTCCTCAAAAATTTGGATGTAACTTCCTTAAATACCAACTTGACATCTACCTCAGAAAACTGTACAGTGAAAAAGAAATAGATATATGCTAAATATTAAAACCAAATGAATTCAGAACAATAGAGACACAACAGGGCAGGGTATCCTCTACATGCATCAAGCAACAAAGTATAAACATCAAACAATCCAAATACACAACAATAAAATATAAAGAACAAAGTTAATTGCCAGAAAGTTTGACCCATAGTAGGATACTGTATACACAAAACAAGGAAAATAAAACATGAGTAGAATCCCTTTTTGTCCCAGTTCTTGGGCAGGGTGGGTATAAATAAAGCCACTACTACAGAGAACAAAGAAAGTAACGAGAAAGTATGGTATCATTGTAAACAGATATTGAATGAAATAAAGCCCAAGAGGCAAAGAATGTAGCAAAGCTGGCCTGCACTGACAATGGTAATTCCCCTAAAATAATCACAAGCAGGGCAACAGAAAGAGGAAATCTATATATTAGTAGAAGCCTAAATTGAGTTAGGCATGATTCTCTGAGAAAATTGCAACATGTGCATTTGATAATGTCGGTCAACTCTGGAAATTGAAATTGAAAGATTGTTGAACATATTTCACTCTAGTATTGCTGAAGCTGGGGAAAGGACGTCCTCATGCATCCAGTTTAGGCAGGCTCTCATCACAGAGCAAGCCAAGTTGAGTGATTCCAAAAATTAAGTGTAACAATTCCTCAATATTGGATAGGCAGATCCACAAAATACTACACTTCTTTGGTTCAAAATGTTCTCTTTCAACCCATCACAAATTTTCAGGAGAAATCATGGATGATTTTATTACACCTGAGAAAAATATTTAAGGCTCAAAGACCGTGTCAAATAAATTTGATACTGTTATATTTATATGTGAGTGAGAATACAAAAAGATATTGGGTCTCAACCCAAACCCTAATCCCAGGAATATATATATATATAGAAAAAGGACTAAAAAGTAAGAGCATATCTCAACATTTCCACTCAAGCTAGAGAATATAAATTGTATGCACTAAGGTTGGAACATATAAACCGAATCCTAGGTCCTCTTAGAGATTTAGTAAATATGTTTGCAACTTGCTCATCGGAGTTCACAAAGCTAGTATTGAGTTCCTTGGACTACAACTTCTCTCTAACAAAATGACATTTGTTATACTTATTATTAGGTAGTGGTTAGTGGTTAGTAGTTAGTAGTTGGTAGTTGTTGTTTTAAATGTTGTAATCCTATATATATATATATATATGAGATCATAGAGTGGAGTGAGGCATCCCACTGAATTATAAATCTTCTTTTAACTCTCTTTACTCTCTTAACTTGGAATCAGAGCAGATTGGTCCTGCTCTGCCTTTCCGGCCACCATCTGGTCACTGTTCGGCCACCGTCCGACCATTGTCCAGCCACTGTCCGGCCACTATCTGACCACTTTTCCGGCCACTTTCTGGTCACTTTCCGGCAACTTTTCGGCAACTTTCCAGTCACTTTTTTGTTGTCATCCGACGACTTTCCGACCATAATCCAGTGACCTTCCGGCCTCCGTTCTGCTACAATTGTCCGCTGCTACCATTCGTCAGTTTTCTTTGCTTTCTTCCAAAAAAAAAAAACTATGTCTTAAATGACCAAAGAATTTCTGAAACCCCTGGTGTTCAACGGATTGCCATCATATTACACAGAGTTGGAAGTCTATCTTCTACTACTGAGACCTTTCAGAATAAAAAATGGAAGGACGTGTGGAGGACCAGCTGGCAACGCACTTGGCAGGGATGGGTCGTGCTCCACTAGTCAAAACTATGACGGTTTATTGCACCAACAATGGCGTATGGCACCAGAGACAATGAACGACAACCTGACTAATCGAAGATGACAGAAACAGAGTAAATCAATGCAGGATCTCACCCGCTTTGATACTAACTTGAGAAAACTATTTAAGGCTCAAAGACATTGTCAAATGACACTAATATTGCTATATTAAGATGACAAGGAATACAAAACGAGATTAGGCCTCAAGCCAAACCCAAACCCAATCCTAGGAATATATATATATATTTAAGGCTCAAAGACATTGTCAAATGACACTAATATTGCTATATTAAGATGACAAGGAATACAAAACGAGATTAGGCCTCAAGCCAAACCCAAACCCAATCCTAGGAATATATATATATATATATATATATATATATATATATATAGAGAGAGAGAGAGAGAGAGAGAGAGAGAGAAAAGGACTAAAATGTAAAAGCATGTCTGAACAATTACATTCCTTAACATAATAATTGGGAAGAATTATGATCCCGGACAACTATATTTAGTACTTGTAGTCTTCATTATTTCTTTCATAAATCAAGCCATAACATATTTTGAATTCCTATAGAACCTCCTTTCGGAAACTTCCTTTCACAATTTTAGTATTCCTTGAATCAACATATATGTTGAGGAGCTTCCTTCCTTCACACAAGCAGAGAAGAAATAACAAAAACATTTTTTCATGTAGTTCAAAAATGTCTATCTCTTCTTACAAAAGAATTCATTAAGTAAAAGATGAGAAAAATGGGATTTACCCTCCTAAGGCTACAAAGAAACTACAAGAACAAAAAGAGAACAAGAAAAATCAACTTATTTTGAGAAATCTAGTCTACTTGAATGTATGCCTTAGAAATGCCCTTAAAAATAACCATGAACTGAAGAGTATTGAGCCTAACTTAACCAAATATGCATCATTTACAATCCATTTCAAAAAAATAAGGAAAAAACATAGAAATATGCATAATACTTACTAAAAGTGCTGGTTTGTGTGAAGTAAGCTTTATATGAACATCACCTTCGTCAACTTCACCATCAACAATTACTTCCTCGTCTTCGTCCTCATCCTCAAGAATCTCTCCAATGTTCTCAGAATTACTCCTCAATTTCAACTCATTTGTGACAAACCCATTTTCTGTGAGTATCTTCAAAACCTTTTCTTCTAATGATGAAAGGGCTTTTCTTCTTGGTATTTTGTTACTAATTTGAAGAACTTTTACTATCTCATCACCAGCAATTTTCTGCACATTCCCACCCACGTAAGTTTCTATCCAACTACTATATTCAGAAAAACTATCTAATGAGGTCTTCAATTATCTTGTCTAACAGATATTAATAAAGTAAAGCATAGTCCTCTAATACATGGACAAGCAAGAAACTATCAATAGCAACTAATGAGCAAAACTGATATCATAAAAAAAAAAAAACAAGAACATTTCACACCATATAACAGTATCACTATATGTTAGACATTTTAGAACAACAGTGCAGAGCAGGGGGGTGAAGACTAAAGTGAAATGCAGAGCATCATGATCCCAAAGACATTGTGAAGGTGATAAATTTGATCATAGTCCACAGATGAATAAATGGTACTGCATCCTTTCAAACTCCTCCCAAAATCTCAGCTTCAGTTTTGTTAGACATATGCTTTTGTAATGTCTTTTATTTTATTATTTATTAACAGATGTTTGTTATTATAATTGTTTGACAATGGTAGATTGTTACAACTGTTCTGCTACCTATTGCAGTACTACTACACTCATAAGTATATGGGTTCTGTAAGAGGTTTACTTACTTTTTATAAATATCTTTAGCAATGAATCATAATATTGTATCCAGAGCTATATATGCATGATTTTCTATTGCAGCCAAGTTGATCGGCAAGCCCTTCCACCAGGTCATTCCTTAAAAGCCAGAGCAGCCCACCATGGGCAGCCATACAAAACCCATCTCATAAACACCTTGTTGTGGCAATTGGAAAAAATTCCGCTTCCAATTTCTGCCATGGCGCCATGGCCATTTTTTGATAACACTATTCCTAACCATTGCTGTGTTAAATCTTTGGGATCCAATGAAAATTATTTTTCATGGACGTTTTGGACTTGATAGCTTTTATCAGTTTTCAAGTCTTCAGTTTATGTCTCAATTTATTTGTTTGTTTTAGTAATTCTTGTATTAATAATATTCCTGTGTCCCATAATTGTACCACTAGCAATGTCTATATTTGGCATCTTAGGTTAGGGCATACTAATATCAACATTCTACATATTGCTCTTCAAAATTGTGATATTTCCTTTTTAATAGAAGTTATAGTACTATTTGAAATCCATAAAATCAAGGGATTTGGGATTAGGAGTTAGTGGGCAGATTTGCTCCTGATTTAGGATCTTTATTTCAGGAGATTTATTTCCTTAATTAGGATATTTATTACATCTTAAATACCTATGTATTACTCCACAAATAGTCAAGAAAATTGATTCCACATTTATTGTTCTCTGCCTACCTCTTTTTCTAACATGGTATCAGAGCTCTAGGTTCTCTTGGAGCTCTGGTTTCGATTCTCACCTTCTGTGGCCTTCATTGCCACGTTTGTCTTCATCATAGCCAACAGTCTTCATTGCCATTTTTATATTTAGAGTAGCAGCCATAATTGCTACAGTTTTTCCACAGTGATATTCATCAAACCGATTGTTGATCTGCATCTTCCCAATGACTGATTCTACACAAAAAAGGGAGAATTCCAGTCTTTCACAAAAGACTGGAAAACTCCAAGGTCTTCGAGCTTCATACAGATTTGATGGAAAAAACTTTCTTAAATGGTCCCAATTTGTTTGGACCTATCTTAATGGAAAAGGATGTCTTTCTCATCTTCTTCAAAAGGGTCCAAATAAGGAGGATCCAAAGTTCTTGGCATGGGATGAAAAAGATTCCATGATCATGTCTTCGTTGTGGGACTACATAGAAGCCTCCATCAATGACACATGCATGTTTCTTAATACAGCCAACGATATATGGGACTCCACAAATCGCACCTATTCTAAGGCAAATTCTGCTGTCGAAGTGTATGAAATAAAAGTAAAAACAACAGCCACAAAATAGGGTAACAAAGGGATTATAGAATATGCAACACGGCTGCAGAATGTATGGCAAGAACTGGACCACTATTGAGTCTTCGAAATGAAGTGTACAGAGGATGCAACTCTCTTCGTTAGAATCATTACTTCCTAGTATTATCATTAGACCTAAGTACAGGGTGTAGAGAGTATCTAGGTCTTCACCTAGGGTCCTAATTGTAATCTCTTACTTAGTCTTCTATGTATCAGATTTTTCATTATAAATAGAAGAAAGGGAGAAGGGTCCCAAGAGCCCTGAAGATATATTTTTTCTCTATTAATCTTAAGTTGGTATCAGAGCGGGTTGATCCCGCTTTGGTTTCTGTCTGGTTATCACTATCTGAAGCTATCCTCTGCTCTGTTGGACTGTCCAACACTGTCAAGCAACTTTCCGTCGTTGTCTGCCGCCTTCCGCCGCCCACCACCATCAACCGCCGCCCGCCACCGATAGTCGTTGCAGTTTCGTTCGGAAACCACCGGATCTAGACCGCCTCTCCGAGTGACAGCCAACCCTGTCAGTGCCGAAGGGAGACTCCTTACGAAGCGCCGCCACGCACACCATCTCTGTCCGCTACAGCCAGCCACGTGCAGTCCATGCATCACCGTACACTCACCAGATCGTCACCGCGCCACCTCAGTAGCTTTCGCCCGAACCTCCTCTGTTCATTTAGACCTTCCAAACCAAGTTTTGGTGAAGTCCAGGCATCCCCCTTTCGGAAATCTCCCTAGGGCTTTCAAAAATCTTTGTTGTTTTTGCGTATCTGCTCTCTGTTTTGTCCTCTTGATCAGAAATGGCATCTGGAAGTGCTGGAAGCGCTATTTCATTCTCTGGAAGTCCTTCAATTACTTCCAAGAAGCTAAACGGACAAAATTACCTCTCTTGGTCCGCTGCCGTCGAGATGTGGTTCCTTGGCTAGGGACATCACGACCATCTTGAGAAAGACAGAAGCCATCTGCCTGAAGAAAAAGCCGAACAATGGAAGCAAGCAAATTTTCAGTTGTGTGCCCTGTTGTGACAATCTGTGGAGCCAAGACTTTTAACGTCTCTTAGGGCCTTCAAGACATGTTACTCTTTTTGGAAGAGGACTCAAAACATATATGTCAATGATATCCAATGCCTTTATGATGCGGCAAACAAGCTGGCATCTCTGAAAATGACCAACCATGATATGATCTCCTTCATGAATGAAGCACAATCAACCGTGGAAGACCTGCGGATGTTCTTGGAGGTTGACGCTTCAGATGAAATGAAAAAGAAGCTTGACAAATACTATATGGTGATGATTCTTCGCGCTATACATCCAGACTTCAACCATATCAGATATCAGCTTCTAACCTCTCACGAGGTCCCTTCCATGGACACCTTAATCCAACGCATGGTTCGTGTCCCAACACATGAAACTCTGGAAACTCATGCTCTAGTAGAACCATCTGTTATAGTCACCACTCGAGAAAGAGGAGGATGTGGAACTAGAGGAGGTGGACATGGTGGTCGTGGGCATCCTCAGTGCACATATTGCAAAAGGATGGGTCACACCCAGGAAAACTGTTACTCCTTACACGGTTTTCCATCCAAAACAGTCAATGTCTCTCAGGATGAAACAACTGAACCCAAGTTCCTAGTGTTCATCATTGGAATGCTTTGATTCGCATTCTGAGATATGTAAAAGGGGCCCCAAGACAAGGATTGTTGTATGAAGACAAAGATAATACTCAAATCCTAGGTTATTGTGAAGCAAATTGAGTTGGTTGTCCCATTGATAGAACAAAGTATTGTATATTTATTGGAAGGAATATGATTTCTTGGAAGAGTAAGAAGTAAAATGTTGTTGCCCGATCCAGTGCAAAAGTTGAGTATAGATCTATGTCTCTTGCTATATGTGAACTTGATATGAATCTCAATTGCACAAGAGGTGATTTAGGATATTTAGGGTTAGAATCTTGTAGGAAATTTAGGAATCTAGTAATAAGGTGGAAGAAAAGAATCATTCTTCCCAAGGGAGGCAATTTACAAAGGATGTGAAAGTCCTTTGATAAGCCAAGGGTTCTTGAATCACTCAAAAATTTAGAAGAATCACTCTCACTAAGATAAAAGAGATAAACTCTAATATTTCTAAATAAAATTTCACTTGTTATTTCTGATAAAAATGGTTCAGCTTATAAAGAAGTTTTGTATCAGAGTTACAAAGATTCACTAAAGGATAATAAATGCTAATAATGATTCATTAACCTAGGAATTGAAAACTACTTAATGGCTGATTGTAACTGAAATTGTGGCAACCAAAAGTCAATCAGTTATGCACCCTCTTGGTCTCCCAAAAGCTGATACCTAAGTTTCCAATTGGACCCTTGTTACAATTTTGAAACAAAATCAAACTAAAGCCCATTAATTGATTAATACAAAACATAATTTGGTCAACCAATTTCACAAAGGATTAGGCCATTATTTAAATAAACTTAAAGACTGAACAAAGTGACGCATTAATCCTTCTCCATTTGGGTTATGATGTAATTCACAACTTTGGTCTTTTCTCCTTGAAATGTGGGTTGGACTTGTATTCAAATAATATGGACAATACTTGTTGAATAACTTCATTTGTTTCCCTTACTCTAGCCCTTGTCATAGGTTATGTCCTCATCATTCTCTCCCTCTTGAAAAGGATTTATCCTCAAATCGGATTCGTCATCTACATAAAAAAGAGATAAGTCTGCAAATTGAATGTAGAACTAACATTATACTCACTTTTTGCAGCTAAATAGCTCTCTCTCACTTCAAGTATTTCACTCTTCTTTTGATCACTCTTTTTCTTCTCAAGTGTTTCACTAACGCTTTCTTTTTCTCTCTTCTCTTGAAGAAGTTTTTCCCTTATTTTCTTTTTATCCTCCTCTGTCATCACAATTTGATATTCAAACCCTTAAACCGGAGCTCTGAATACCAAATGATATGAACTTGTATAGATTTATGTCTCTTGCTACATGTGAACTTGTGTGGATTAATTCAAGAATTAAAATTGTGATAATGAGCAGAAGAAGTTGCATTGTGATAATTAGGCAGCTCTTCATATTACCTCTAATCCAATGTTTCATGAAAGAACAAAACATATTGAGATTGACTATCATTTTGTCAAAAAGAAGTTGTTGTTTCAAGCTTGGTGCATGCAATCAATATGCTCCAGCTTGAGGGAGAAAGTTGAAATATATTCATGTTTAGGATTTAACTTATGTTTTTTTTGTGTTTATGTTCCTTAGACTAGGTTAAGGTTTTGGGTTGAGGCCCATATCTTCACTTTTGTATATCTTCTTTATAAATATAACAGTGTCTTTTTACACTGTATTGGAACCCTACTCAGTTTTCTCAAGTGTTCCCACCAACATAAAGTCAATAGCATTAATATTGTGAAGTACTATTGTCCAAACAAAAACAGCAAACTGTTGTAATATACAAACTATTGAGGAACTTCAATGAATATAAGTGTGCTAAAGCATCATTATGTTGTTAGTCATCCCAGCTAAGTTGGCACCACAAACATCAATCATATCGAGGAACTGTCAAGAAATGTAGGAATTGTTGTCAAGAAATGTAGGAATTGTTAAGGGGAGAATAACATCTGTTTAGATATATATTCACAAATCAGGAATAATTCTATGTTTCAGACTAAACAAATAGCAGAAAATGATAAAGGAGAGCAAAGAGTATACTTCAACATGTTCATAAAGTTCAGGCGGAGGTAACTTGATGGCATCCAACATCTTTGGCTTCCCACACTTCTTAACCAAAGCTTCTACCTCATTACAGATCGCTCGCACTGCATCCTGACAGTGAACAACAGGAAAAATATAATACAATCAACATCAAGGAGACCCGTTCATAAACTAACAAAGACAAAAGATGACATAAAAATGGGCATGCTTGAAGAGTAAACATGACAATTCCACTATAACTAAAACAAAACCTGTTATGGAGGCAATTGGCTTACTCTTGTACTATAAGTGTTCTTTTAGCGAAAAATTCAAATTCTCAAAGCACTAGTCATGAAAAAATGAGTTGAAGGTTTAAACAAGATAGATGTAGACAGCAAAAAGGTTGTTTTGAAATATTTTCAAATTGTTACATTTGCAACGAGTTGAGAACGAGGACAATTTTAGAGATCAAAATGTTCTGTGGAGACCCCTTGTTTTCAGTGCTCTATCAAACACCCACTAATAAATGACTTGCAAGATGCAGTGCAAATATTAAGTAACAATGAGCTTCATAAGCTTATCTACATAGTCCTGTAAGGCAACAACCTGACCAACTTCGACAGCTTTAAGTAACTGTTCTTCTGGAAGAAAATTGCTATAGCCCTGCAATAAAAATAAATACCAGTTGAGCCGGTACAAAAGTACAACCACAAGTGCCAGTGAAGTTCAATAAAATTTCATAGTAATTTAGATTGCAAGTACTTGATTTGGATAAGGATCATAAGTTGAAGCTGAAAGAGAATGTACAAAGGAGACATTTAAATTTCTGAATCACCTCCAACCAATTTCCAGGCTAAGTAAATTATTAATATCACAAATCAGCAAGCTGATTGCAACAGCAGGAATGAGCATCATTGGCATTCTCGTATATGTATTCTAGCATCAAAACATGACAAGCTATTTATTACCACATTTGCCTCTAGTCTCATCCTTTGAGTAAAGGTGATATCAGAGATTGTCTAATAGCTAGGAAAAACCACTAAAGTGAAAAATAAACAGTCCAAAATAATAGTATGGTATGAAGAGTAAGATAATATTTATTACCTTCACAAAACCTTCTATTTTCTATTTCCGAAAAATTAGGATAGCTATACATGCATGACTTTCTATTGCAGTCATGTTACAAATAATTATCGGACATGCTCTATTATTCCTATCATGTGATTGTTTAGAAGAAAGGATAATGTTTACCTCTATCATCAATATTGCACTATCTGTGCCAGCCAGCAAGAGGTCCAACTCCGAGTGTTCCATCTCTTTAATTGTAGGATTTACTATATACTTATCACCAACAAGACCAACACGGACCCCAGCAACTGCTTTTGACATTGGCACTTCTGAAAGTGCACTGGAAATTAAATGATTAAGATTAATAGTCTTAGAATGTGAGTTTAAACTTATTTCAACCCTACAAAAACCTGCTTCTATAACAAGGGTTGTCTTCACCTATATCCTGCAATATGACCGTAACTCTAATTGATATGGGATCTCCAACAAATAGTTATGAAGAGTGTTTTTGGGCATGATTAGATAGCATAATGCACCTGAGAAAATACCTCAGGCCTACTTACGTGTATCAGTGTTTCTGTCATAATGAATATATCTTATTTTTACATCTTCTATAGGATTATCCTTCTTTGTTTTAGTTCTTTCCCCTTTTATTCAATTATCTATCAGCAGTAATATTTTTTGACAAACAAAAATTAGAATAAGAGAAGTTTTTTAATACATTTAAATAGGAAAAAATAAATAAAAATTGTGCGTGGGGTCTAAATGTCCTTAAATTACCAGCAAAATAGAATGACCAACTTACACTGCTATACCAGCTGCAGTGACAGCCAGAGAATCAGGGGAGTGCAATCCATCATAGCTCAAAACCTAAAAGCATCAATTAACAGTAGACAAATCATGTGAAATTTCCACAAGGTACAATCATTTTAATACACCAAATAAAAATAAACAAAAGCTTGATAAATAAGTCATTTCGGTACAGCACTGTATAAGACAAACATCATTAAATTGCTGACTGCTTATCACTGTTATTGCCCAGGACACTTAGAAAGTATCACATTTTCAACATATACGGTATTTCCTAAAACCTACTTTCAAGGCCAACAAAAAAAATAATAATAAAAATCTATGTTTTCTCACAACTGCATTGTCCATTAATTTTGTAACATGATTAAACAAAAAGGACGAGTGTCCATGACAAAGAATTTTACCACAACTTTGATATGGCATAGAAATGAGTGCTGATGAAATAATTAAGCATAAAAAGGGTCAAGCAAAGTTTTTCGTAGTGTAGTTCTATCCCAATTCAATAAATTTGCAGTATCAACACATAAAGCAAAGTCAGTACACTTAAATAAACTTAGGAGATAGACCGATTGAAGTAGACAGTAAAATTTTAAGAAGTGAAATTATACAGACTATACCCAAGATAATATTTGAGTTTCATGATAGAATCCCTTGGGCATAATAGGACGTAGAGGCCTATCAATTAACCTACAAATAAGAACCTGCGAGCAGAAATATGGCAAAAACAAGTTAAGGACATAAATTAAAAAGAAAACCTATTCAGATAACAAAACATTTATATGAATAAGATGTCTTCTTCTCTCCAAAATATATTGTAGAAGCAAGTTATTCCAAATTGTAAATAATAAAAAGAAGCTAATATTAAGTGAAGTGAATTGGTCAAATATGCTTAGAAACTCCCATCCACCAACTCCTAGTACATAATGATAGAACTGGTTAAATCTATACAAAGATTTCTGCAAAGAAAGCCAATTTATTGATGATGATCTCCAGGGAAACGTTCCCAAACAGAGATGAATGAACAAAAACTAAAATACAGAAAAAAAAAAGTATAAGATCAACAGTCTCTCCCAACCAATTACACACTGATTAACTGTCCCCCTTTCCTTCAATTTTTCTCATTAGTTACATGGATTCTATGCAACAGCCCCGGCCCAATTACTGGTCTTCCTCCTACTATAGATCTAGTTAATGGGAGGTCTATGACAAACACAACCTCTTCAATTGGCTTTCAGACTCATTATGTCCAGCCCATAAGAAATGTCTTCCAGCTTCAACACGGGAAATACATATGTCACGGGTTTATATCAGCCTCTTACATAAATTAAAAGTTGTCCTTCAATCAGCAGCATGGTTTCTTATATCTAACTCAGCAACTATTGAAAAGTAACCACCAAAAATATTTGTTCAAATCCTTCTTCGTAATTAATAAGAGAGCTTTCCATCATGTCTTTTAGCTACAAACAAGTAACACAGGCGGCAACAGCAACAGGGGTAATGCACAGTCAGCACAAATGGGGGCCATGGGCTGCGGAGCATGGTAGGTTGTATGGATCCAATTACAAAGAATGGAGTTGAGAAAGTAAAGGATTCAAGTCTTGGTTTAACAAAGCCATGGTCTCTCCAACTACAATGGCTAGCTTTTACTCTGTGGCTCTCTGAAGGTTCTTATCACAAAGCACCTGACTTTTATTTCTACTATTAAATTTCTACAACATAACCAGATAAGTCCAACATTTTGCAAACAACCCAAACAAATGAAGAGAATACAAAGAGAAAATCAAAAGTATATCAACTAATGATAACATCACTGCAGTCGATCACGATGCAACTCATTCTAGTTGTTGGATCGAGCACTTATTACTAGGTCAAAAGTTATAGCTTATAATCAGAACGCAAATCTTTCTGTGTAGCAAACCCAAGCAAGATTCAATTGTGGCTTCACCCATTTAGCCTCTCTCGCGAGACAATTGATACTACCCACAAAAATTTTAAGTAAAGAACAAGATTTTTAATGAAGTATCTTTGACTGAACTTCCCCTATTATTTACTTTTATGTAAAAAAATCATATAGCTAACCTTAAATAGTGGAGTAAGGCTATTGTTGTTATTTATTTTTATGTAAAAAGGAGAACAATGGATTCCTTAGCAAAAGCATAACAACATAGAGGAGGGGCCGAGCATGCTTGTCAGTGTAATATTCCAGTCTCCCCACATTTCACTTTTTGTTGATTGGAAACTAAAATGCAAGTGCTGATCATAATTGACTGTGTTATAACTAAAAGTGAATCTCAAGAGAAAAAAGAGCAAAGCAAATTGCAATACAAAACACAAGTTGCTGAAATTTAAGATGGGTGTCCAGGATAAGTTTAATTTTCAATTGAAATTATTGTAAGAAGTTAACAACTAGAAAAGTAGTACCTCATGGTCTCTTATCTTTCCTTCTCGTTTAAAAAACCCTCCACTGAAACAATAGTAAACTGAAGTATTTAACACCCCCCCCCCAAAAAGAAAAAAACATGCAATAACTAAAACGGAATCTAGAAATAGAAATTTGTATGCCATACCTAGTGCGACCAGCCGCTGAAAAACGCTCTTGATAATTAACAGAAAGAGGGAAAAAGTCAGATGGTTCACTGGGAACATCATCCAAGCAAACAGTTGTATACAAAATCTGCAATAAGAAAAACAGCTTGAATTTTCAAAAGAATAAACGTTGAATTCTTCATGCATAAGTTAATGATTGTTTCCATTATAAAACAATGTAAAATATTACAATTTTTCTTCAATAAATAAAATTAAAATGTAAACAAAAGTCAGGTAAAAGTCAATTTTGAATTATGAGTATCAATGCATGATCATAAGAATTCTTTTCCAATTTCTATATTCTCCATCTCATTATAAAAAACAAAATATTAAACTATTCAACGTGTCAATCCTGACTAAATATTTCAAAGTCAAATATTAGTGTATGGGCATTAACACTTACTAACCTCTCAAAAACATCAATCATTTTTCTTTTTAGGGCCAAAAAACAGTACATTATTTTTTATCATGTAAAGTGGAAAAGCTAACAATACTTTGAACACACAAAACAACAAAATAAATACCTTTTTGTAAAAGAAGAAACATTTCAAGTCAAGCTGAACACTTGAAGTTCGAAGTTCAAACTTGGCTTGCAAATGTTATTCTCAAGCTTGAGTCGATTACTAAACAAGCCAAATTTAATCCTTGGACTTGACTAGTCGGAAAAATATAAAGCTTCAGCTTGGTATTTAGCTCATTTATAGTTTGATCATTTTTCTTATTTATCATATATATTCTCGACAGGTTTTTGACATGTGTGAATTTAGTAATTTAGTAATTAGTCATAGATATTTTCATTTTGGTAAATGAGATATTCTTGAGTTATAGGAGGATCTAGACTATTTTAAGTAGAGAGGCTGAAGATATAGAATATTATCAATGAAGATTTTTTTTATCTTTTATTGCTGAAATTATGTTAAACAATAAACATTTTATAAATTTAGATAGATAATTTTATATGCAAAATATCTATTAGAAAAAGAAAATCAAATTTCATAATTTTTTGGACAATTACACACAAGTTTTACAAATTCAAACATGTCTGTTAATTTGTAAAGTAATTTTAATTGGACTATCACCAACACAACTAGAAAAAATTTGCAAGATACACTATAGCAGTTATTATGTAATGAACATATCACCTAATAAATTGATATGTAAATATAATTAAGATACGGATTACTTAGTCAGCTATTGTTAGTTCATAGCTGTTTGCCAGCTGCCTATAAATAAAGTACATTCCAGACAGCTGAATGTAGACGCATTGAACCGATAGTCAAATACAGAGCACAGTTTCTTTGACCTCTCTGTTTCTCTCCTCTTCCCTCTATCCTCTCTATTCTGTTCTTCCCTATTCCCCTCTTCTAACCCTGTATTTATGTTTCTTTCATCTTTCTCATCTAAATGATATGTTATAAATCAAGAGTTGAACTGCGCATTAATTTAGTAGTCAAAAGTTTTGTGAAAACAACAAGCCTTTTTCTTAACAGTAGAATACGTAATATATATCAAATTAAATTATAAAATGAAGAAATTTTGACTAGAGCCTATAATCTCAATTTTTTAATATATAAGAATTTCATGTAAAAGATAAAGAAATCTAAAACTTTTGGGGGCCATACCCCTCAGACTACAAGTAGCTCCACCCCTCATGAGCTTTTAATATCAAGCTTGAGCTTACTCATTTATATAATTGAGCTTAAACTCAAGCTTGAGCTTGTTTGTTTATTAAGATAAACAAGATTGATTGAGACCATAATAAGTTAGGTTAAAATAGTTTACGAATTACTCAGCATATTTGCACCCCAAAGTATGATCAATGTGGCAGTGTAAACAATCATGGATAAACTAATTAGTAGAAGAAAAATATGGAAACTTACAGTCTCTCCATCTGTAACTGTAACAGAACCACTTGCCTGTCTTCCTATATGACCAGTCTCAACCAAAATCTGTAGAATGCCACAAATACAAATATGAAAATAAAACTAGTAGTACAATGTGGAAAGTTAAATAATGGAGGGAATTGAGGAGTACTGATTGGTGAATACCGTTTCACTATATATATATATATATATATATATATATATATATATATATATATATATAGTGAAACGGTATTCACCAATCAGTACTCCTCAATTCCCTCCATTATTTAACTTTCCACAAATATATCCAAAATTTAAATCCCGTAGCGAGCATCACAATGCTAGAAGAAACATTTTCAAATTCCAGGCAACGGTTAAAGTAAACCCACTCCCTTGCAAGACCAAACAAATCAAATTTCAATCTACCATGTATATTTGAACAATCGAATTGCATTCAAAACTCCAACATCCACAACTCCACAACCCAATCCCCAACCAAACAAGCCAAACACTTCTACACAACGTAAAAACAGAAAGAAATTCATGCAAGCGAACTCACATGTCTATCACCAACAGGAATCTTCACGGAATATGGTTGCAGTACACCACCGTCGCCGCCGACGACGGACTTCAACGCCTCCGGCGAGTCCGTAGAAGCTCTGACGACGGAGCGGCGGCTGTTCCTTCCGGAAGGAAGCGAGCGGATGTTGCATTTGCGGGAAGCGGCGAGGCGAGGGGAGGGAGAGAAAAAGAGAGGCTTGGAGAGGAGGAAGTGAGATGGTTGGGAATGCCGTTGAAGCGTGGCGAGGCCATGGACGGAGCTGCTAGGACATGCTAGCATCTTATTATTATTATTATTCTTTCGCTGCTAGGGTTTTGGATTGTGGAGCTAGATGATGTTGTTGCTTCTCAGAGTGAGGGTGGTGAGAGTGGGACAGAGAGAGTCAGAGGGAGGGATGGTAGAGAAGGAGAAAGCTCTGCCGTTATCCGCTTCTGCTATTTGGTTCAGACGCGCGCTCAGGTTTTGGGCTTTGTTGTTCGGTTTTGAGTTGATATTTCCTGCACCACTTGTATTTTTTCTTACACCTCTCTTAACTCCAAAAAGTTTGTAAATCTCAATTTTTCTTGTTAAGTCCTAGTAATATTTAAGCTTTTATAATTTTTTATTCGTAATAATTTTTTTTATTTTACCTTTCCTTTTAATAAAAATATATATTGTTATAAATTTTTTATTTTGCTCATTTAACTATATTCATTAAATAATGGATTGTCCGTTAAGTATCATCAATCAATATAAATTGTGTATTTTCTTTCTAAAACAATTTTTGATATATATAATCATTTTATAGATTTTCATTTTTAATAAAATAAAATTATTTTATCCTTATAAATTTTTATTTGTGTTTTATGTATTAAATTATATTTCAATAAAATTACATTTAGTATATTTAAGCTTCATAATATAATTTAACACACGTAAATTTATCAATCTTTAATATTTTTATTAAATATAAATTTATTATAATATCAATTTATTAAGCTTAAATATATTCTATTAAAATATATTTTTAATCAAATTATGATAAAATAAAGAGAAAAAAGTATTTAGGTTCACTAAACTTTATCTCTTTTTTAAACAAACATTTTTAAACTTTAATCATATTTTAATTAATTCTCAAATGTTATCTCATTTACAAATAGACACATTGAACTTCAATTTATTTGAAATGATTGTTAAATATTACTACTTTGTAAACAAACACGTACAATTTTAATTTTATTTTAATTATTCTCAAAAAAATTGAATTTTTTATAAATAGTTTTCTTCTAACATGTTTGAGTTAAATTATTCGTATTAAATTTCAATAATTCATTCATCTTTTATTATTTTCATTATAATTCTTTTTATATCAAAATAGATTAAAAAATTAAGAATAAATAAATTAACAAAAAACATTAAAGACAATAATCCTGAAAATGAGTTTGAGAATAAAAAAAAAAATCCTATAAAATTATTGTTAGATCTTATACAAAATATCCGGTGAAGAAGTAAACGGAATAAAGTATCTCAAATCCTCTGCTTCCCACAATTGTTGTGATGAATTCTTCAAAGCTATATCTAATTCCTTGCCTGGTTGTTTTGTAAATATTTTCATAAATTAATGATTCGATATTTCCCCTTTCTTTTTCTTTACATGACTTATATTAATTACATATGTTCTCTCATTTGGCGTCGATAGATGCGATTTTGTAAGAAATAATGATCGTGGGGAATGCATCCAAATATACAATTTTTATACTCTTGACTGGGTTAGTAAAATCTACCTTAAACTCTTTGGGTGGACTTTTTTTTTTTTTACTTAAAAATTATTTAACTTTTGTTTCACACTATATCTCATCTTCCTTTTTTTATGCACTCTTATAACAAATGATAGATTTACTTAAACTAAAATAATTCACATAACGGAACTTTTTAAAGTAATATTTAATAATAATTATCGAATGTATATTATAGATTTTTGAACTTTTATATGTTCAGAAGATTTTTTAGAGTCTATATCTTTTATTTAATTATTGTTAATAATTGAAATAAATTTGATTGCTAGATAAATAACCTAAAATCAGGTTAGGAGATAATATTTCAGAAATAATACCATAGGAATTGTAAAAACAAAGAAAGTTCTTTTATGTTTTTTATATAAATAAAATAAAGTGACTTGAAGAAAGCTGTTACGTAATTTTGGGATAGATTAAATATCCAAAAATTTTAAAAAATAACTAAAAATATTTATTATTTTTAAATTTTTTATTTTACTAATTTATACTTTTATTTAATTTATACTTATAAAAATAATTATAATTTGAACAAAATTATTTAATATTAAATTTTATTTCACATCTATATAATATAAAATATGTTTTTTATTTGTACGATCTGATAGTATAGGAACTAATTAAGTCTTTTTGAGGCTCATGATCATGGGAACAAGGAGATTAACAATTCAAGCACTTAAGAGTGAGACATATGTAAAAGAAGAAAACGTCATCTATTTTCAAAACACTCAAGGATTAGGTGGTCGTGCATCTTATAAGGAGAAAAAAGAAACCAACAAAGCTAGTGTGGTAATGAATGTGGTCGGTTATCGACCTATAAATTTGAGTGTTTTAAGTGTGACAAATATAACTACTATGCAAATTATTATTATTAAGACAAGTATTACAATTGTGGTAAGATTAAGCATTTTGCTAAAGAATGTCGATTGATAAAAAGGTGGAAGAGACAACAAACTTCGTAGAAAATGTGAAAGTCGAAGAATATTTATTGTTGATGTCTACTCATAACTCGACGAATTATAAGAATATCGTTTACAAGTCGGTAGTAACACATAGGAACAAATTACAACTCGAAAGGACATGAAAGCAACAATGATGACTCAGTATGATATCTAGACAAGGGTGCAAGCAACCACCTGTGTGGGGACGAACACCTATTCAGTGAATTGGAGAAAGTTAAAGGTTGTCATGTGTATTTTGGAGATGTTTCAAAGGTCTAAACGTCAAGTTATGATCTTCTACTTCTAGAGAGATGGTTATCGCAACCAGGATCACGATAAGGCAGGTAAAAAATATGATTTTAAAATATAGTTATCACCATAGTTTGTTAAGGGAAACTATAGAAAATCTTTTTATATAAAATGGTCTTTGAAATTAGATTTAGGTTCGAAAATCAATTATGCATAGGAAATGTATTAATACCCTACAATGTCCATTCATCTTAAGATAATTATCCTTAGTTAAATGTGAAACATAAATGTAATTTTTAACATATTTGTTTTCCTCTTTACATCAAATGAAGAAATACAAATAATTAAAAAAACATTTTTAAAAATTATTTATTTGGACCCGATAAAGACTAACTTTGCTCATGTGTATTTCCATTTACAATGGAAAATTAGGGTTACATGGTTTTTTCTAGAAAAAAGTTTGTGTGTTGAATTAAAGTTTTGATATTTTTGGTATGTTTTAAAAAAGATTTATATATTTCATTTTTTTGTTTTCTTAAAAAAGAGTTACAAAGTATAAGACAATGTGAACGATCGTACTAGATACACTTACTAATTATTATGAGAAAAATTATTGAATGAGCATAAGATGATGTGAGTGACTATACATACATCCCGAATAACTTATTTTATCTTATCTATCAAAATAATTTTATGACAAATAAGAAAATTATGACTCGTACGACTATATATGTGTCTCAAAATTTATTTATTTTAAAAAAATAAAAATAAAAGAAGCAAAAGAAAAAGATGCATAGGTCACTTTTCCTTTTCTTAGTGCAACTCCTCAAAGTTTGTAACGGGGAACTATCCTTTATTGTGATGACATTGAGGACTCCATAATATATTGGAAATCTCCAAGTTTCATTCTTCTTCCTGACAAAGATAATAGGAGATGAAAAAGTACTAGATTTAGATGTATTGATTCCCTCATTCAACATGGTTTGTGCCATTCGTTCAATTTGTTGTTTTTAGCTATGTGGATATCTATAAGGTTTTACTTTGATCGGTGCAGCCCTTGAAAGCAAAGGAGTAGTATGATCTTGGGACCTAGGAGGAGGCAACCCAACAAGTACATCAAACATCTATTTGTGCAAAATAGGTAATTGGGACTTTTCACCATGCAATGTCATGAATAGATTATCAAGATAAAAGTTAATAGTAAGGTTGTTGTAGGTAAAAATTATGAGAACTAATAATAGCTAACCAAACATCTACCAATACCATATTTGCACCATAAACAAGTAATAAGTATGCTGACAACTTAATCTCATATCCTTGAATTTTTTAAATCTCGACCCAAACCCTTAACTGTTAGAGAGCTATCATTTCACATTAACACTAGGAAAGTAGGTACAAGTTCAATAAGTAACTTAAGGCATTGAGCTACCCTCAATTGCAAATAATTGTCAAAATTGCCACTATCTAATAACATATGCTTCATCATTCCATTAATAAATACTTAAAACTTGATAGTTCCTAATTTAAAAGAGCCTTTAAAAGCATCATATGACAAATGATGCTCTTGTAGTGATTATAATCTACAATCCATATATGATTTAGAAGGATATGGTTGTGAACTTACTAACTCATCATCTTCCATCTACATCAACAAATATTTCCGATTAGGACATTTATGGAAAGGAGATATTAGACCAGCACATGTGAAACACAACCCTTTTTAACTTTGCAGTTGCATCTTATAGGGGTCATTCTCTTAATGGAAGAATTCTTTGGTTATGAATTCTCGAACTTGAACTCAATGTTGGTAAAAAGGTTAGACTTGTGAATTTCAAGGATGGTGTTAAGGGTAGACTAGTGTTTGTGGTTTGTATTTTGGGCTGATAGTTGGGATAATATGATTTGAGTTTCAAAAAATATTTTTCTTCATATAACTTGGCTAAGTAGATAAATCATAATAAGATAGTAGCAAATTGGGCAATAACATCCTTGTGTATATATGATTTTAATCCTCCCACAAAAACAATCCAAAAGAGTTTTCGAAGAAACTCCTTGGACTCTATTAGCCAACATTGAGAACTACACACAATCCTCATGAACAAATTCAATTTGAGTGAATTTAAATAAAATTACTCTAGAGCACTCATAAGGGGAATACTCAAATTCAAGCTCAAGTGCATGTGTAAAATCTAACTAAGAAGAAAATGGATGAAACCGAGTCATCATTTAAAAATATGGAACCACTTCTTTATCAAGATGATTGATTGCAATTGTTATGGTATTCATCAAGAGTGTGATAATAGTTGAAGAATTATTCATATTTAAGATCCACTATAAAACATCTATGCCATCAAATATGGGAAAATCTATTTTGACATTGCAGATGTGAAATGGTTGTTGATATGTCAATCTTGAAATCAATCACAACAATCTTGTGTTTGAAGTATTCTAGAATTGAGTCCAAAATATCAAAACATAAAGAATATTCATGATTCCATTATGTTTAGATATCCTCATAAAGTTGCTTCGTTTTAGAGATAAACTCTTTAAAGAGTGTATTTTTCGCCATAACTCAATGAAAGCACCATTGTGTGTAATTTGCGGGATTAAACAAAATTAAAAGAATGAAATTAGATCTGATCAATGTATGGATAAGTTCCTCCAATTCAAGTATTATTTATTGATAATATGTTTCACACAAATAAAAAAGTCATAGTAATAAAGAATTTCAATAAAATAAAATAAAAATGACAAATATTACAAACCACTCACTCTACCTAATAAAATTATATTCAATTTTGTGACCCATGTAAAATTATTGAAATGTGTGTTGATTTAGAGTTTTTCTTTATCAGATTGATGTAATTCAACACTTTATTACCAAAGTGGTGTAAAATTTAAAAGTTTTACTGAAAATAGTAAATAGTATTATAACATGATTTCTTGATAAGAAAATTGTGTTTCCTAATATAAGTTCTTTTGATGAATTTTTTTAGTCAAAAATTCGTACTATGTATTTTTTTATATTTTAATACCAAAGGCGTATTACGTAGCACTAGTTTTTTTTTATTTAAGTAGTGTCATGTCACACAATTTCAATAATATCTATTTTTTTAATATATATTTTAACATGTTAAATTTACAAGTAAAAGGATTAAAAATTTAAAAATAATTAAAACAAAAATAAAATACTTTAAAAGATGTATGAAAAATAATAAATATATTATTACACTAGCTCTTTTAATTATAATTCATCTATCGATATCATATTACGTGTACTATACATATATATTTAACAATTTTATAAGGTTGTAATACCTCATTTAGTCATAATTATTCCATTCATTTTTATTAATATTAAAGTATTTTATTTGTGTTTTAATTAATTTTTAAATTTGTAATATTTTTATTTATAAATTTTAGATGTTAAAATATAATAAATATATAAATAATTTTATAATTAAATTAAAATATAAAAAAATAAAAATTATATCACACGATTCAACTTTAAAAAAAAATCATATTATATAACACTATTAAAAAATAAAAAAATATTAAAAATTGGTGTTATATATCACGATTTTCTTATAAAGAAAAATGACCAGAGGAAATCGTATTATATAATACCACTTATCCATCTTTTCGTAAAATTTTCAAATTTTATACCACTCGATATTAACAAGGACGCTGAATTATACCAATTTGATGAAAGACCTGGTTTAGGTGTGACTCAGTTTCCACGTGTGTTTGTTATCTCCGAACCCGCACCGCCGTTTTTTGTTACAGTTAACAAAATAGATTTGAAAATTTAGGTGTTTGTTTGTTACTGTTAACAAAATGGATTTGAAAATTGAGCTGATGAATCAAAACTAAATTATTTTTTAATACAACGGTGAAATATCTATAAAACAACTAAAATGGAAAATTACACCCTTGTTTTGCTTCACTTAAACTCTTTTAAAATAACGAAAACATACTTCACATGGAGTCAATAATATTTATTCATTAGAAAATTTAATAATTTAAAATTATAAAAAGATTAAATATATATTTAATAAAGCTAACAACTAATTCTAATCACAACCAATAATTTTCTTATTAACGAATGTTATTGTACTTTACTATATTCTAAAATATACTTTCTTTGTTTTAAGGAAGGGTCAAGTCCTTTTCAAAGCAATTCGATATTATTTGATTCGTATCTTCCCGTATATGAAGCATAAAAAATGTAAGATGTGTACACAAAAAAGATACATAAATTAGAAAGAGATAATATAGTGTTTGAAAAAAATTTAAAGTGTTGAACTTGAAAAAGTCTAATGGTTTAAGGAAAAAACCTTGAAGAGAGACAAGGGTAAGTGTGAGTGAGGGAGTGTGCGACGACGATGGAATACACTTACGACACCAACCACCGCACCGTTGGTAACCCTCTCCTCTCTTATCTTCTCTGGGAATTGCTTTTCTGTTTTTGTTGTTAACTTCCTTCCATTGTTTTCTCTTGCATTTTCATTCTTTGTAAGACTAAATAAATAAGTAATTAAATAAATGGGCATGGGACCCCTAAAGTCAAAGGCAAATGAAGGAACTTTATGTGCTTTTTTGCTTGGGTATTGAGTATTTTGTGTTGTTTGTTGTATTTTATTTGTTTATTTTTAAGACACTGATTAAATAAATGAATAAATAAATAGTTTTTTTTTTCCAAAAGGGTAATCATAGGTGTGAGGTTACAGTGGCCGACAGTACTTGTATGCTGTCAAGATTCTTGGTGACATATACCTGACCTTTTGTGTCACCCCTTGGAATTTTGTTTATAATTTTTTTTTCTTCTAATGTTCTATGAAGAAATAGTTTATTAAAGGATTTGTGACTGTTGGCGGTGTTATTTATTGAGGAATGGACCCATTACTCATTTCATAGCAGGATTATCTGTCTCTTTCCCATTCATGTCCCACTTGGCTCTACAACATCTGAGAGCATCACAAGATGTGTTATATAAAAATATGGTTATGGTAAGGATTTTAATAGCATTTAGACTTGTCCCAAGTTAAAATGTGCTTGTAATTCACCTTAAATGCTATTAATTTTATAAAATGTGTATGGTATGCTCATGTTATGTGTTGATTAGTATTGATGCCATTGATTTTTCTCAATGCAAGTGAAGGTTTAATGCATTATGTGAATTTATATCACTAGATCACTGGGAGTTGATGTAAAATGTTTATTGATGACTGGTCTCTTACATACATTGACTACAGAACCTCATGGGATAAGGGATGTAATGGACTTGGAGCATCACATCCACTATCTGGAAATTGAGGCTTATAGTTCTATTTTGAAGGCTTTCATTGCTCAGTCTGATCTTCTTACTTGGGTAAATTAATATTTATTCTCAACCTGTTCTCTGTGATCAAGTCTGTCTCCTTATTTAATGTGCTATTGCCAATGCCTCTCTTTGCCCAAGGTACCTGCTGAAAATTTGTTTGTGGCTGCAGGGCAAAGAGGAGCTGATGACTGAGCTCCGAAAGGAACTGAATGTTACAGATATTGAACATGGAGAAATCCTAGTGAAAATCAATTCTGACGAGTTAATTAAGCAGATAAGGTGATTGTCTTCTTGTTCAATACTTTGATTCATGGATTTGACTTCTCTAAAGTGACTAAATGTATAAAGTGAAAAAGTAAGGGTGTGTCACTATTGATTTGAAGTTAGTTAAGATTACGTGGTACTTCAATTCAGATCAACAGTAGATGCACTTTTGTTTTCTTACTTTACACATTTGCTCACTCTAGAGGAGCTAAATCCCTGATTCACATTTGTTTTGATTATTATTATGATGCAGAATCTTTTCCACTTTTGACATTTAACTACGCAGGGAGCAGAGGAATTTGGGATCTCATGCTAAAGATTATATTCAAGCTACTCCTGGTTGTGCTTCTGCTTCAATGGGAAATGCAGTGATGAAACTGAAAACTCAATCCTCTGCTGCAATTTATGCTCAGAAGAAAACGTCACGCAGCCAAAATTCTCTTGTTTCTATTCCCATTCCCTCTTCAATGCCTGTGAGTCAATCAAGCCTAAAACAAATTTTAAATTTGTATTGCATTCTTGCTTCTTTGGAGTCTGTTTGGTTTAGATTCTAGACACTTTTGAAAATAACATCCAAATGTTTTTGGCAAAACATAGGAGAATTGAATGTGGAGTTTTAGAATTGATGTTGGGGTCTAAATATTAAAATGAAAAACTGTTACTTGTCCTTAAAAATCAATTCTCGTACTTCCTAATATAACATATTTACATATATGCCCTAACATGCATTAACAAGAATTTAATGTAAACACTATTTTTTGTAATTTCCTATCTGAAAATAATTTTTTCTTACAGTATTCAATGTTTTGCCTTTCTAAGTTGAGCTCTTTCACTATCAGTTTGATTCTTTTCACTGGTCTTTTAGTACGAATTAAAAGATTTGATTTTCTGGATATTCCAATTCCAAACACATTCTTTGAATAGGGTTACTTTTCTTCTTGATGAACTCCAAAGCTCCTCTAAGCTCAAGTTTTTTATTTGGAATGTACAATACTCTACAGAATTACTAATGCTAATGACATACTGTTGTTGGAGGCTGCATATACCTTGTTCCTCTGATTTATGTTTAATATGTGGTGCTTGTTCAGGATCAGTTTCATGCCTGTTCTGAACACTGTTTTACTTCTGTTTCTTTATGGTATTCCTTATTTGTTATTTTTGTAAATTGAATCGTATGTGTGTCCAGGTCTTTAGATTAATTATTAATGATTAACATTGCTGGCTTTGATATGAAGTAAAGAGGCAAAACTTTTGCATTGTTCACTATATGCTACATTTTTAGTGTATTTGGTGTGAGCACAACATTTACTTCTTTAGGTTTCTATGGTCTAACCCTCTACCTAAGCCGCTGTTAAGTATTTGGCTTTTATTTGATAGTGTCGGTGAAATTGCCATTTTTCCGTGGTTTGACTGGTTTCCCTTGTAAAATATGTTGAAGTTTCCCTCCTAATTTCTCCAATGATTTTGTCTGTTTTTTTTTTTTTTTTTTTTCTGTTTGATCTTTGGTAAGAATATTTTATGGCCTTCATTAATGACTTCCTTCTTTTTATCAAAAACTACTCTAAGACGATCCGTTTTAAAGTTTGTTTTGCTCAAAACTAATCCTCTACAGTTTTATTGCCATACCTCTGAGTCCCAGTTCACATCATGCTTTATTTGATATATGTCATCATTCAGAACTACATGACAAAAACTGTTCAGCCTCAGGCTTATTTAATTGTGAATTTGTCTGTGCCAGCCAAAATTTAATGACGATCCATTGACTGCTGAATTTGTCCATGAAAAAGTGCAACAATCTATTGAAATGTTCAATTATAGTGTTCAGTTACCACCTGTTGGTGGAGGGAGAGTGCTGAAAGGAAAACATCTATTGCAGAAGGACCTTCACAGATCTCACTCTGCCAAGTTAAATAAAAGATCTGATTTAATTCAGCTTCGTGCAACAGATAGGGTTATCCATGATGTAAGCGAAATCTTTATTTGCATGTATTTTTTGATTGGCTTTTTGTTGCTTTCATTTTAACTGGCTATTCATGGAACTTGTAGATATGAAGAGATAACCAAAAAATATACTTTGTAGTGGATAAACCATGACTAAATATTGATCATCATCGTCTATCAAAATTCCATAATAAAATCACTGTTTCTCTGTACTTATTAACCTTGTGTAAGTAATGTATGCGAACTATGGTTTTGCAATGTAGGATGGTTATCGAATGGGTAAATAGAGTTTGAGGGATGTGAAGAGAAGGGAGATACAGTTAAGCATTCCACAAAGTTTAAAGGTTGTCTTTTGCATCATTTACCTTTTATTATGGGATTAAGAGGTTTTACAGGGAGATAAGCAAGCTTTGCCTATTTTCTGTTTCTTTTTGTTTTTCTGGGAGGATATCTTATTCTCTTCTCTTAACCTCTCTGGATATCTTTTGGATACATCTTTGATATTTATTTCTCAATCTAAAAGTAGAGGGAGAAGATTATTGAAGAAAAGATCAATTACAACATTAATTGTTCTTATGTCCATAATTCTGGAATGGATAGTAAAATTATAAACTTCAACCTTAAATTAGGGGTAAAAGGAACACTGTTCTGCTGTTTACTGGATAAACTAGATTAAAAAATGCATTGGTAAATCCCTGAACTTCACATCTGCATATCTTATAATTTGGCCAAGCTTTGTTTAAGTAAATCTATGAGGTTGCTATTAAGAGTCGTCACGTCAGGGTACTTATAAGCTTATATTTGAGGATTTTAGGAGATATATAATCTTTCTTAGCTTCTTTTTATGACTTTCATTTTGTTCAGATAATGATAAAAGTTATCAAAGACACAACCAGTCTGGAAGAATGAGGAAAATTGATAAGATAATGATAAAAATTGAGTATACTCTTCTGTTAGGTTGTCTTATTACACTTTATTTTTATTAATGAACGGAATACATTGTGTTAAGTTGAGCACAAAAGTTTGTTGCATACCTCTAGTGTGGAGCGTAGGAAAGTTTTCTTATTGATATTTTTGGATCTCATCCTTAAATCTTCCACGAACATTGAGTGTTTTTCATTAATATTATTAAACAAACAGGGCAAAACAGGAAGTATACGTTCCTTCCTTATCTTCCACTTCCTGTTTCTTCATTTGTTTCCTGTTTTCATTTGTGAGGAATCTCTGCCTCTATTATATATGCAATCTATTTCTGGGTATACCTGATAATGTTTTTTTTTTCCTGTCAGAACAATTTCCAACGTCATGAAGTTAAAACCTTTTTAACAATTACGGATCAAACAATCAAATTTTGTAAATATACAAATAAATATATTAAATTATATAACCCTTAGATTCCAATAAGATTGGCCAGTACATCTTAGCAAGCAACCTGAATATGAATGATATATTTATTTTGTGTAATTACTGCATTGCTATTGCATATTTAGAAACAAAGTTACTCAACTGTATTATGCTGTCTGAAGATTTTCGTTTTCTTCTGTTGCATTTCGAAGTTGCTCGTTTTTTTATATTCAAACATTTTACAGATTATCGATGAATATGAATGGGTTTAAAAATGAAATATATTGCAAGGTAGGAGAGTTATTTTGTTGATTCGGTTGTCAACCTAGAACAATGGAATATAAATATTGTGGCGTTTAAGAAGGCTTATTTTGTAAATGAAAATTTGTAAATTATTGAAAAGTTCATATTAGAAAGCATTTCTCTGTTTACTATTTATCATGCCCGGTTTATTTTTTATTTGATGATTAGTGCTTGCTTACTCAATTGAGTTACTGAATAGGATCTTTTACCTATTTGTTGTTTAATACATTGTGTACTTAGCAACCAATTAACATATACTCTAATATGTTCATTATTTTTGGCAGGTTGAGAAGATGCTTTTCAGTAAAGAGAAACCTGACCCAGTTGATATTGAGAGAGCAAAAAGGGCTCTTAGGGTAATGTCTTTCTTTTCAGATGCATTAAGTTACCTTAAATATATGTCTTCACTCTTAAGACAATTCTAACAAAGTGTATCATATGAATATATAATTTGTTCCAGAAACAAGAAATAGATATAACTGAAGCACTCGGTAAAGTGACTGATGTGCTAGAGAAGAGGGGTAAAGATACTTTGCTAACATGCTTCTTCTGTTTCCTCTGTCTTATTTTCATGATTGTATTAAACAGTTGGTTTTGGCAGGTGATGCATCTAATCAAATGCTACGTTATGAAGTGACAACAGAATACTCCCAGAGGACAAGAAAAGATGAATGAACTTGGGAAATCCGTCTGATCTGTGCAATTAGGGTGATGATTGCATGGCATAGATATGTAACTTTTTACTCTGATTATAGAGGCTATACAACTCTGATTTTGCAGGATTGTTTCAGTGAGCAGTTTACTTGTTGAGTATTAATTAGTAGCGAACTGATGTGAAATGAACTCTTTAATGTGACTTCTTCCAACAGGTGTTGAATTACACTATTACAAACACCTTATTTAAGTATATATGCAGTAAGTTAGAATCCAATATGTTCCCATTCTTCAGGAACTAGTTCAATATTTGTTGTTAGTTGATAATGCTTCACAACCAGACATGACATGCTAGTCTTAGTTTGTGGTTATTAGCCATCCAATTGTTCATTAGAAGCATATATTTTGTATATGAATATGGATGTGTGGTTGAAGAATTTGTTCTTACTGAGGGATGAGTCCCTTTGATCTTTATTTTAATAAACCATTCTAGATAGTATGCTTATTTATTTATTGGTTAAAAATACTTGTGAATCAAATATAAAAACTGTGGTTTGGTTTGAATCAAAATAAAATTTGAATCAAATTAAAATTAAACTCGATTTGATTTGGATGCATGTTTTTAATTTTTAATTTTTTTTCTTTTATTGAAGATTGATTCATTATTTTTATTTTTAAATTAAAATATAATAATAATAATAACAATAATAATAATAATAAATATGCTACTTAAAATCGAATAAATATATTGAATAATAAAATAATAATGTAAAATTATTAAAAACTAAAACCATTGATTAAGTCTAATATTAATAAAATAACAATCTAAGACTCATTAAATAACATAAAAAATATAATAAAATAATTATAAAGGGGTAAAATGAGACCATTCGTATTTTTTTACAATCAAACTAATTTATTAATAGTTTTTTATATAAAAATTTTAAAAATGTATATTTTAAATATATAAATATTTTTAAAAATTTTATTTATTAATTAATATTTTATTAGATAAATTTATAAAAATACTATACTTATATGTTTCAAAATATATCATAAAAAATTAAATATTTTAACTATAATTTTTTATTTTAATTTTAATATATAAATATTTTTTAAAAATAGATAAGGCAAACTAGTCAAAATAGATAGGCTAACTCAAATTACTATCTCACCACAGCAATTTTAAATTGGATGACAAGTTGACCTACGGATGATATCTCAATTTGTCATGTTGGGCCGTATATAAAATAAAACCTTATTATTTAAACTTTCCTTCAATTTTTATAAAAGAAGCTGGTTAATAAATCATCATATTATATAAAAAGAATTAATCTTAATGCAATGACTAATTTGACTCAATGACCAAGTTCTAAAAACACATATAATATAACAATCAATATAATTAAGAAAGTAAACAATAATAATTAAACCATAAAAGTTCAAAATAGAATATAAAAACTTAAGTTTCAATTATTTTAATGTCTTGTCCGAGTATTCAATTTTTGTTCACTAGGGAAGATCAACATTAATTTTGTGTATAAATAATTATTTATTTATTAAAAAAGCTTTTATAAAATTAAGTATCCTACCTTCGGTATTGAAAGCTAACTTTTAGCTACAGTAAATATAGACATGGTGAACAGATTTCAAACAATTTGAGCAAAAGTAAAATATTTGGTAAAGTTTACTTTCTACTATATCAAAATGTCAATTTTTTTTAACCGAGTGCACTTATATTTCAATTTATTAACCGAGACTTATGTAATATAATAAATAATTTCAAAAATATTTCTTCATGTGTGTATTTGCCGATAGGTAAGCTGACATACTTGTTTTATTTTTTAACAAGTTGAAGGGCATTTTTTTTTAATTCTTTTTTTATCTAGATATTTTAATTCCAAGAAAATATTTTAAGGGATTCAAATCTTTCATTTCAAACTCCTTTTATAAATATTCTTGTAATATTTTATTTTCCTCTTAATAATTTCTTGTAACAATCATATCATTCACATTTGTAATAAATATAGTTATTTTACCTTTTATTTGATATGAATTACTTTGATGATATCCAAATGCTTTCATAGATTTTGTAAACCTTTTAAACTATGCTCGTGGGGATTGTTTCAACCCATACATAGATTTTTTTTCAATTTTCATATCTTTCTATTGTATTTTTCAAGTACCATGCAACTTGGTAGGGGTTTTATGTATACTTTTTCATTCAATTCCCCATGTAATTTTTTTTTTACATCAAACTACTTCAATGGTCAATCCAGTTTTGTTGCTAAAGATAGTAATACTTGAACAATATTAATTTTTTCTATAGGAACAAATGTCGCTATGTAATCGATCTGATCTTGTTCTAAATTGTTCTATTGTACCATTTGTTTTATGTTTGACAGAGTAAATCCATCAACATTCTATTGATTTCTTTCCTAGTAGACAATCAACAAGGGTCCAAAATTTATTCTGTTGAAGTAAGTTCATCTACTCATTTATAGCGGCCTTTCATCTTGGGTCATTTAAAACTTCTTGCACATTGTTAAGAATAACTACAGTAGATAACTCGATTCATAAATATTTTATTTATTTTTTACAATTTATAATTAGATACATAATTAATCATAGGATATTTAACTTTACTAGAGAGTTCAAATGCACAAGTTTAAGAATACCTCTAGTGAGGTGATTTGACAATTATTTTCTGGCCAACAAATGCTTGGTAACATCTTGATCAAGAGATTAAGGGGGTTTTTGTGGTGCTTTAATGATATATTTATTAAGAGATTCTTGTGATGCTTAAATGTTATCTTTAGTGAGAGGTTTTTGTGATATTTCAATGTCACTTTCTTTTTTATCTCTTAAAGGACGATGATATGAAATTATATATCTTAAATCCATATACTTTAAAGTCTAAATTTCCTAGATTTCTTGTTGGTTCTCTCCCAGGAAATTAGACTCAGAAGCAAAATATATTATATCTTCATGGAAAATCACATATGGTGTTATATACCTATGATGAATAAGAGGATGATATCACCTATAACATTTTTTATGTACAACATATCTAACAAAAACACATTGAATGACCTGTGGAGCCAACTTGTTATATTGATACTTATGAAAATGAACAAATGCAACACATCCAAATATATGATGGGGTAAATTAGAAACTACTAAAGTGACAATTAAATTATGTAAAGTTTTCAAAAGTGTCTTAAACTTAATAGAACTTGAAGGAGTTTGATTTATTAAATATACTAGTAAAGTAAGAGCTTTTCGCCAATATCATAATAACACATGTACCTCAATTAACTAAGCACAAATAACTTCTAACAAGTGTCGAATTTGTTTTTCAGCAATCCCATTTTATTGAGGTATATTAGGACAAGTAGTTTAATTAATAATTTCATTAGCTTCTAAATAATGTTGTAGTTCAAAATTTTACATTCTCTACCATTATCACTACACAAAACTTGAATTTAAGCATTATATTGAGTTTTTATCATTTTATGAAAATTTAAAAATAATAAACTTGTCTCATTTTTTTATTTCATTAAGTATAACTATGTCATTCTTATATAATCATCAATAAAAATGACAAATCAACGACCTAAAGTTTGGATTATAGATAAATCTCACTTATTAGAATGTATCACTAAAGAAGGTTGATGACTATTATTTAAAATTAATGGAAATAAGGTTCTATGATTCTTTGCAAATTCACAAATATCATAGTGAAAACTAAAAATATAATATTTATAAATAAAGTAGGAAATAAATTTTTAAATGCCCAATAAGGCATGGGCAAAGCGTTAATACCACAACCAGATTTTAGATTTTTTATTTTTATTTTCTCCCTTAGAGTTATTAATGGTTAATGTTTGTTCTGACTCATCGATTTTGTTGAAAGTGGTAGATAATATAAGTTTTCTCTACTAATACCATAACTAATTGATTATTTTGTTTGATATCTTTAAGAACACAACAATCAGGATAAAAAATGATCAGACAAGAAAGATCAGTTGTTATTTGTGAAACACATAAAACTTAAAATCTAAAGAAGGGACAATCAAGACAGAATCAAGATTTAAAGTACTAATAAATTTAAAGATATTTGAACTTTATTTCTATTTGTAGTAAAAATATATGTTTGTGTAATTTAATTTTGGTGACCTTAGTAGAATCAAATGTCATATGATTTATAATTGTAGTATCAATAATCCATATATCATAAATAATATTAACAATCTTATCAGGATTATTCATAATTGTCTCTAGAGCAAATACCTTCTCATTTTTTTTGCCAGTGAATACATTATTTTTCAACTCTTACATTTATATCTCCTTATAGTTATCTTAACATGCTTTTGAAAGAGTATTGCAAACTTCTTGAGTTTGAAAACATTCAAGATCTAAAGGATTCAAAGGATCTTGAGTTTCTTTCCTCCACTTGGAGGTTTTAAAGGATTTAAGATTTAAAGGACCGTCAACATTCGGATACCAACTTAAAAAATATAAACTGAAATATATTCTTTGTCTAATATAAAATAAAAATATGTACATCTTATTTATAAAATACAAGATATATGTACCTAAGTAATTTACTCGGAAACTAAAATATTTTATAAGCATGTCAAATCCTAATAAAATAATATACAACTTGAATAATGATATTTTGTAAAAAGAATAATAATAAAAAAAGTAAAAAATAAATCTCTCTCTCTGAACACATTTAATTAAATTAAAAAAATAATGATAACAATGAAGGGTTAATGAATTTTATGTTTATCTTATATATTGTATTTGTTTCATTTTATGCACCATATCTATCATACAAACTTAAAGGAAAATTATTAAAATTTAATATTATTAATTGATAAAATATTTAGTATCAATATATAAATCAAAATAAATTTAATTATTTAATAATAAATGAGAAAATTATGATAATTAATTAGTATATTAAGTTTTAAAATATATTATTTGTAATTTAAAATAAACCTATCAATGAATAA